TGCAGAAAGACTGATTTCCACATCCTGGAGTCATGTGCACGAGCATGCATACACAGAATGAATAAATGTCACCCCCCCCCCACACACACACCCACACAAACATGCCTATCGCTTACTGACAGGGCTGAGCGTGCTGAGAACACAGACAGTCTGATGAGGCCGGTTCTGTGACGGTGTGTCTCCTAGCAAACAATGACTGAGAATATCAAGATTTACTGACCTGAGTCCAAACAAGAATGCACGAATATAGCCTCGAGTATAGTTTCACTCTCATTTTGTTTTGTCTTTTAAAGATTTATTTATTATATCTACAGTGTTCTGCCTGCATGCCAGAAGAGGGCACCAAATCTCATTATAGATGGCTGTGAGCCACCATGTGGTTGCTGGGAATTGAACTCAGGTCCTCTGGAAGAGCAGCCAGTGCTCTTAACCTCTGAGCCATCTCTCCAGCCCCCTCATTCTCATTTTGTAAGTGGTACCTTCAAAATGTTTCTATCTCATCCCTGTAATCCTAATTATTTTAAGTTATTGCTCAGCATTAAAATGTTGTTCTTTTTCTTTTTTTAAAGATTTATTTATTATGTATTCAGTGTTCTGCCTGCATGTATCCCTGCAGGCCAGAAGAGGGCACTAAATCTCATTACAGATGGTTGTGATTGTTGGGAATTGAACTCAGGACCTTTGGAAGAGCAGGCAAAGCTCTTAACCACTGAGCCATCTCTCCAGCCCCCTAAAATGTTCTTGGGAGCCGGGCGGTGGTGGCCCACGCCTTTAATCCCAGCACTTGGAAGAGGCAGGCAGATCTATGTGTGTTCAAAGTCAGCCTGGTCTACAGAGTGAGTTCCAGGCCAGCTAGGACACACAGAGAAACCTTGTCTCGAAAAAACAAACAAACAAACAAACAAACAAACAAACAAACAAACAATTATATTCTTGGGAGAGACAGCCAGGGGACCTTAATTCTTCACCACAGAGCTAGGTCACACTCAGTGGCATCTCTGAGCCCCGCCCTCCGCCTCACCCTGCTCCACACTCTTAGTCCCTGCGCGAAGAAGGGCGGAGCAGGGAAAAGAGCAAGGACTCGGGTTCACGTGTGCCTTGGCCTTTGACCTTTCTCTTCACTATTGCCTCTCTCCAAAACACTTGTCACTCCAAGATAAACAGAAACACAAGGCCACAGGAGTTGTTCTAGGGGGGTTTGAAGGCCCCCTGAGACTCAGCCTTTGCTTGAGTCAGGTCCTGCCTAAGTGGTCTTGGGGGTCTGAAGACACCCCTTTTCTAAAGATTCCTTTGCTTTTTTCCATTGTGTGGGCAGGACCAGGAGCTTTATTGGCTGGGGGAGCGGGTGAGGAGGGGGGCTTCCGGAACATAGTGACCTCACAAAGACTGTAAGCCTAGCCTGGGCTGGGGGGGAGCCCAGGTAAGCTGAAGGGTGACTTTGGGGAAGTACCAAGGGTGGGGTCGGCCTCCACAGCCTCCACAAGGCAGTTACTACCTTGACCCCACCCCTCACTAGGTAAAAGTCTCCAGGTCTGGCTATATCCCCATAGTTGTTACTGCATACCCTTGGATTAAAATTGACTTTTCTGTTGCCATGTGGAGGCCCCAGGTGGAGGTAACACATTAGCAGCCCAAGGCTCACAGAGAGTTTTTCTGTCTTGAGAGTGGAGGGTGGGAGAACAGGGCAGGGGGAGGGTGGTGAGTGAGAAAATCCAGGGGGGATTTCACAGCCCGGGAGGGGCCGGTGCAGAGGACCCCGCTAGAGCACCACCTGTTCTCACCCAGGGAAGGATGGTGTGTGGATGGACGTTTGGGGAAGGCCCGGTGCGGCCCAAGAGTGGCAGAGGGAATTGGGATGAAATTCAGGAAGGTCCTTTTTCCACTGTGGAAATCCAAAAATCTCTGTGTGGCCCCAAACTCACAGAGTTCCGCCTGCCTCTTCCTCCTGGATGCTGGAATTAAAGGTGTGCACCACCACACCGGCTCTTTATTTTATTTTATTTTTTTCTTCTTGAGGCCTGCAACCCAGACAGCGCCGGAACTTGCTATGTTTCAGAGGGAGACACCTGGCCCCTTTGTTTTCCAGTTTCCTAAGGTTGGAGTACACGCCTGGGTGACCACGCCTAGACAGATTAAGCAGATTTTAGCAATTTGCCCTTGAGTTCAAGCCTCCGCCTTCTGTCTCTACTACTGAGTCCATCAGCAAACTTTTCAAGATTCAGTTATTGGGGAGAAGAGGAAACAGGAGTCATTGCTTAGAGAATGTGTTTCAGTGACATTGGAAGAACACATAGGAGATGCATAATGTATTTTATTTATTTATTTTTGTTTGAGATGGGGTTAAACTCTCTATTATAGGCTAGCCTGGAACTCATTATGTAACCCAGGCTGGGCTCAAACTCCCAGTATTTCTCCAACCTCAACCTGGGAAGTATAGGTATGAGTCCCCATGCCTGACTTTGTTGATGTTTACAAGAAGATCTTACTTAGTAGCCCAGGATAGCCTCAGACTTGTGATCCGTTCTCAGCCTCCTGAGCATTGGAACCTCCGTGCTTTCCCACTACACCTAGAGCTAAGAGGTCAGATCTTATATTAAGTTTTGTTTGTTTTTCTGACAAGGTCTCCCTATATAAGGACTAGCCAATCTTGGGGCTCACTGGGTATTCCAGGCTGGCTTTGAACTCCTGGTGATTATCCTGCCTGAGTTGACTAGTTCTGGGGTTACAGGTGTGCCCTAACATAACTGAGCTATTTGTTAAATGTTCTTACACACACAATAGCACACTCATGTCGAGATCACAGACACAGGGACTTTCCAGAGGGGATATGTTTAATACTCTGACTGTGATGATGATAGCCTATAGATATACATTTGTCCAAACTCATCAGAACATGTACATTAAACACAGACACTATAATTGTTTTTGTAACGCAAGATCTTATGTAACCCAGGCTGTCTTTGAAGTCTGATCTTCCTGTCTCTCCACCCAAGAGCTGGGATTACAGATGTGTGACAGTCCCTGCTCCTCTTTCTGTTAAAAATCAATTTAAAAGATATTGTATGCAAATGAGTGTTTTGCCTGAATTATGTTTGCACAATGTGTGCATGCAGTGTCTTCAGAGACCAAAAGAGGGCATCAGGCTTTAACTGGAGTTACAGATGACTGTGAGCCACCACGTGGGCACTGAGAATCAATCCTGGGTTCTTTGGAAGAGCAGCCCCTTAGTCTCTTAACTGCTGAGTTGTCTCCAGCCCCCGCCTCCTCTTTTTTTTTTTTTTTTTTTTTTTTTGAGACAAAGTCTTTCTATGTAGCCCATGGCTAGCCTGGAACTTGTGTAGATTAGGCTGGCCTGAAACTCACCAGGCTCTCCAGGCTCTGTGTCCCTAATGCCAGGATTAAAGCCATGTGCCATCACTCCCTGCTTCCTCCTTTCCCCTTAATGAGCAATGCCCACATGGCATAAGGCAAGCCACAAGTTGTTTCACACTTTTAGGACCCTCTGGAGACTTGACCACCTGCAGCAGGATGGAGGAGGAGGGCAGGGAGCAGAATGAATCAGGGAGAGTCTTGTCTGTCCTGTCCATCTGTCCTGTGGCAAAGGGAGGGAAAAGCAAGCTTGAGTCTGTCTGCAAGACTCAGGTCCTACTCACTTCCTTTAGGTTATACTAGCCTGTATTACTCCAGGTCAAAAATGCCTCCCTTTGAAAACTGTGGCGTGTGTGTGTGTGTGTGTGTGTGTGTGTGTGAAGTGAGTGCATGTGCAAGTACCTGTGTATATGACATAGAAACGTATCAAGAGGAAATGCAGACCCCTCATCAAGTAAAAGGAGGAAAAATGATGGGCACAAAATTGAGACCAGGGCTTTGTCAAGGACCTTGAAATCAGGAGCCCCAAACTTTTCAGCCCCTTGGCTACAGGTAAAATAGTTTTTGGGGGTGATGATGAGGCAGCTCTTCCAGCTTTGCAGCCACCAGGTGTTAGGATTGCACATGGCTTCCCCTGGGCACCAAGGTCCCGACTGCCCTGTGCCCCAGCCTCTAACAAAGAGGAACAGAAGGGTGACCTAGGAAAGCCTTCTGCAGGCCTCACTCTCCCTGCCAGACCCCGTAAGGGCAATGTCTCCATAGGACAGGGTGCTGTTGACAAGCACAGCACCAGGGTGAAAAAGTCTCTTGTCCAGGCTTGTTCACTCACACCAGTGAGAGGAGCTGATCTATGAACTTGGGACTCCATGACTTGAAGTGCACGGCCCTTCCAGAGCCACGCCACACAGATGCATCTCGGTGGAATGAACAAATGATTTAGGGAGCCAGCACATGAGTGCATAAGAAGTGAATGGAAAGGGCTGGAGAGATGGCTCAGTGGTTAAGAGCATTGGCTGCTCTTCCAAAGGTCCTGAGTTCAATTCCCAGCAGCTACATGGTGGCTCACAATCATCTGTAATGAGATCTGGTGCCCTCTTCTGGCCTGCAGGAGTACACAATAAATAAACCTTAAAAAAAAAGTGAATGGGAGAGAAAGTGACCTAGTGAGAGAATCAATGAGCCAAACAATAAGAAGGTAAACTGAGAACCCTTCCTGTGCTCAGGTGCTATATATACCAGATGTCAGAAATCAGCAGTGAGCAAGACAGAGGCAGCTCCTGGGGGAAGCCAGATGTGTGTGGCAGCAAGGTGCTCTGAGAACTTAGAATTGGCCTTCACCTGTTTAGGGGACCTACAAGGGTGCAGCTTTAAGTGGTGGCTGGGGTAGGGAAATGGAAGAGAGACGCCAGCCTGTGGAAGGCCCAGACCTGCAAAGACAGAGTGGGAAGGAGGGGGGACATGGGGGCTTAAGGAGGGCTGCTCAGGGTGATGCATTAGAGGCCTCTAGGTCTTGCTAACAACCGGCGATTGTTTGAAGGACAACAGGAAGCCAACGTGTAGCCAGAGGTGGGTGGCACAGAGATGGCTTGGTCTCTCTGGCTCTCACCTGATGTCTTTGCATGTCTTCCCAGGGGCCCACTCCTGCTTTAAGAACACCATGCTGGCAGGTGAGTTGTTCTTATAGATCCTATAGGGGGAGGGTGGCTTGGGGATAGGGCTAACAGGTGGAGGATTGGGGAATTCACCTGCAGTTAGATTGCTGGGAAAACAGTTCCATCTTAGGAACTGCTGTGCCCTCTCTTGCCAGGCTGTAGGTTATAGGGTGCTCTGCCAAGGAGCCTTTGAGATGCTGGGCTGGAACCACTCGCAGAGTAGTTCCAATAACATAGGATCCTTGTTGGTGAACTGAGGTCACGTGGGCCTGGCTGAGTATCAGGTAACTCATAACAAAGTCCCTTATTATTCCTTTCAACCTTTAAGAGAGAGATTTCTTTCCTGCATTTTTTAGAGACAGACTGGCCTTGGATTATCCTCCTGCCTCAGCCTCCTAAGTGCTGCGGTTACAGGCTTGAGCCACCATGTCTGGCTAGAATAACTGTAGTTCTTAACACCTAGAGCTTGTCTCTAACAGGGCTCAGTCAGTCATTAGGATGAAGAAGGATGAGTATCTTAGTAGGAGAGCTGCAATTGGCAAGGCATAGCGGGAGGTACCAAGCCAAAGGCCGTACATTGTTTGGAACACTAGGAGAAGGGGAGCAGGATGTGGTCAGGGAGGTCAAGGTCCATGGCGTGGGATGGAGAGAGTGAGAAGGGAGTGGAGGAGTGGTGGTGCTGGGAAAAGAAGCCGATAACAGCAAGAGACCCTCATCCATGGCGGCGGGCGCAGGGCAGGGTTCTAGCGGGCTGCATTCATCTTCTCTCTCAGGGGTGCCACAGGAAGCCCCACAGTCAGCAGTTGGAGAGAAGGGACAGTGGTATTGAGAGGCTTCCCGACTGGACATGGCCCTGAGTCGGGGGGCTAGCCTCATTCTCCACGAAGACCTAGAGAAGACACCAAGCCCCAGCTCCTATGAGGTACCAGGAATAATGTCTAGCACCATGCCTAGGCCCACCCCAGACCTGGTCCTTAATCCTCTCCCGGCACATGGCTTGGCTCCCACTCCAGTCCTTCACCCAGCACGGAGTCCTGACCTAGAGGGAGTGGCTGGCCTTGTGTCTACTGACGCCTCCAACCCCAATGCCAGTGGTGCCACGACTCCAACCTCCGTCCAGATCAACAGTGGCTCCGTGGACACGGCAGAGCAGAGTTTGAATCACATCTCCAGGCCCGACTCAGCAGGGACTCTCGGCCCAGGCTCACAAGCAGCTGGAAGCCACAGCGCTACCCAGGCTACTATTTTAAGTACAGAGAATCCTTCTAGGCCATGCTCTGAGGATGTCCCCAGGCCCCTCTCAAACAAGGTTTTCGATTTGGGTCAGAGTAACTCTAATCCATCCAGGCCTGAGCCAAACTTATTTGTAAGAGCTCTTTCCAGAGACGCCCTGGTCCGGAGCCAGAGCATCTCCAGGCAGGGCTCTCAGGTGCCTCTTCTTCTAGCCTCCAACACTTCTTTGGACCCTCTGCGCTCTGGGAACACCTCCAAGGTGAACTTGGGTATAGCCCCAAACCAGAAAGAGTCCATCACCTTGACTTCACGTACTATTTTTGCATCTGTTTCCAAAGAAGCCTTGAGTGCACCCTGGAACTCAGGCTCCCAGGGCTCCATCAATGTGACTTCCAGCAGCCGACCCAGGTCTGGTTTAAATGTGACTGTCACTCAGGCCTCACGTGTCAGCCTGATCCCCGGTTCCAGCGGAGGTCTCAGCCTGCACTCGAGTGCCAGAGCACCCACCTCCACTCTCTCTCCATCTTCCTGCATGACACTAATCCTGGGCTCCGAGTCCCTGAGCATGGATTCCAGCTTCCTGGTGAGCGACACCTCCACCTTGACCATGAGCAGCCAGCGGGATTATTCTGAGGACAACAGCATCCGCACCATGCCCCTGGAGGAGAATCTGGGGAAGTGGGACAGCCTGCAGGGTGTCACGGCTTTCCGCAGCCCTCCTGAGGGTGAGTAGGGAAGAGGAGGCAGCCTAGAAGGATTATATATTCAGAGCCCTAAGACAGGGTAGGCAGCGGAGAGGAATGAGAAGGAAGCCAGCCGATGGCACTCACGGCGCAGTGGTAACCATGCTCTGACCGGCACTTTGGCCAGCCGTATGACTTGAGTGTCAATTTTTAAAATTATAATATGATAATCCTCCCACCCCCTTTTTGACAAGGTCTCACTATGTAGCTCTGTCTAGCCTGGAATTCACTATGTAGATCAGGCTGGCCTCGAACTTACAGAGATCCACTCACCTCTGTATCTCCAGTGCTGGGATCAAAATTGTCCCACCAGGCAATGATCCTTCCATTCAGTCCAAATCCTGAGTCCATCCACAATTCACATGCTCCATTCAGAAGGTCTTCCTCTTTTCTGTAAATGCCAGTCCTGACTCCCGTGGCTGATTTGGCCAGAGGATTTAGGCATAGCGGGATCGACTCTGTAGCGATTTGAAGAACCCACTCAGGCCCTGACCTCTGGAGTCAATGCCTCCCTCCAGATATGCAGGAAGTCTGTTGCTGTATGTTCTCTCGGTTGGTATTTCTTTCATATCTTTTGGTAGACAGGGTCTCGTGTAGCCTAGGATGGTCTCAGACTTGATACATACCAGAGGACGAACCTGAGTCAGATTCCCCTGCCTTCGCATTTCAAGTGCAGAGATTGCAGCGTGTGTCACCACATCGGGATCAATCAATATTTCTTTTTTGTTCCTGCACCACTGTCTTATTGTGATTACGCGTGTGCGCATGTGTTTACAGAGGTCAACCTCAGGTTTCACTCCTTAGGAGTCCTCCATCTGTGTTTTGAGACCAGCAGGGTCTCTCATTGACCTGAAGTTCACTGTGTGGGCTTGAGGCTGTTTAGCTAAGGGTGCTGCAGGGATTCTCCTGTCTCTGGTTTCCCGGCACTGAGATTACAAACACAGATTACCAATATCTGCTTTTTCCATGGTCCTGAAGATTAAACCCAGGTCATCATAGTCCCCCAACCCCAAGATTGTGATTTGAAAAGTTAGCATGACATCTAGGCATGGTAGCACAGGCTGTGATCCTGGCACTCTAAGGATGAAGAGAGGGTAAGAACATGTGGCCAGCCTGGGTTATATAGCAAGTTCAGGACCAGCCTCTGTTACAAGACTCTCTCCACAAAGTAAAAAGCAAACAAGCAAGCAAGCAAACCCATGGCTTTGTAATTATGTGTGCGTATCTGCTAGAGTGAGAAGCCACTCATAAACCCCACTCAAATTCACTAGCCATTAGTAAACCTTTTCCTCCATACACTTTTATTAGCTGTTGTAATTTTGAGTCAGGGTCTCGCTGTGTAGTTCATGCTGTCCTCAGACTTGCAATTCTCCTGTCTCTATCTTCCAGGAGTGAGATCACAGGAGCAGGCCATACCTGGGCCTTGAAGACTTTATTTTAAACTAATTAATACATTTTTGATCCTAAGGATCAAACCCAGGGCCTTGGATGTGTTAGGCAAGTGTCCAGCTCACTGAGCTACATCCCATGTCTGTACATTTTGTATAACTGGAGTTATATAATTTCTGTAATTTGTGGCCCTTTGTGATTGGCTTATTTCACACAGCAAAACCTTTTTAAGTTTCGCTCGTACTGCAGCGCGGGCCAACACTTTATTCTTGTGTCTGAAAGTATCCTCTCCTGTGGATAGTTATATTTTGTTATACCTATTTGTTATAAAATATTTTAACCTCAACGGAATCACAGAACCAAGGAAACCAAGGTCCTTGATTGACCAGTAGAGCAAGGTTAAATCTTGCCGTGTAGCTCAGACTAGACTCTAATCTCAGCCTTGCTGCCTCCGGTCCCTAAATGCCGCTATGCCCATAGGAAGATGTGTCTTTGGTGGCTGGATGCAGGAGAAGCCGGGAGGAAGGCTTGTAGACCAGCTTCTTGACTTGTTGACAGTGGAGAAGTCATAGATACAGAGTCAAAGAAACAGGAGAGATGGGCTGATGAAGAGAGATACTCAGTCCTTTCCCAGAGCCAGTAGAAAATGGCTGGGAATTTCTTTTTGCTCTTTTTACTATCTTCCTGGCTGTTCTCACGGCAGCTGTTAGCTGTCATGGTAATGGTGGTGGTGGCGTGTGCTTGTGTCATTAAGATTTAGCATGTAGATGGATTGTAACAAAGTTAGAGGTTATCTGGAAGTTTTATTTCAACTGGGTTTAGCTGGTCCACCTGGAGAGACTGCTGGCAAGATAAGATCAGGGCAGGATAGACGCTCAACTGAGTCACCTGGGCAAGGTGACAACTGACAGACATTTGAGTTTTCTCTGTATTTTGATTCTCCTCCTCCTCCTCTTCTTCCTCTCTCTCTCTCTCTCTCTCTCTCTCTCTCTCTCTCTCTCTCTCCTCTTTCTCTCTCTCTCTCTTCAACTTCCTCTCTTTCTTTAACAGACAGGGTCTCTTGTACCCTAGGCTGGCTGACCTTGAGTTCCTTTGAATTTCTAATCCCTCTGACTCCCACCTCTGGTTTTATATTATGGGGATCATACTCAGGGCTTTGTACATGCTAGGGAAACATTCTACTAGCTGAAACATTCGCAGCCCGCTGTTGGCTCTTTTAATTTTTAAAGTCACATTGGTTGATTGATTGATTGCCACTGTGCGTGTGTGGAGGTCAGAGGATAACTCGCAGGTGTCAGTTCTCTCTGTCACGTGGGTCCCAGGATCTAACCCAGACCATCAGACTTGAAGGCAAACACCTTTACCAGCTGAATCATCTCACCAGCTCTCTTCTGCTTATTTTAAACAATGCCGCTATTGCCAGAGTGAGGGAGGGCAAAAGCCTGCCTCCAGGGAGTCCCAGTGAAGTACCATACCAATTTCCCTAAAAAGTCCAAGTTGAACAACTATGAAGGCCAGAAGGGAAGCTTTATTCTCAAGGAATCCTGTGGGGGAGAATGGAGGTCTCACGGGCAGGCACTTGTCTAGGGTGCTCTTGCAGTTTCAGGGTTACACAGGTACGGATAACAAAGGTTAGGGTTGGAGAGTTGGGGTTTCCACGGTTGGTAACCCAGGTCTGCTCGGACTGGCCACAGGCTGGTTGATAGTTACTTCCTCCATTTTCTCAAGAATGTCCATGCAGAGAACTGTGTCTGCACCGAGAAACCACCCTGTTGTGTGGCGTGGTCTGGGTCATTTATCTTAATGTCTTCACCAGGCCTGGAGTTACTGGGACAAACCATAGGGAAGAAAAACCAAAGAGAGCCCGGAAGGAGGAAAGACAGAAACAATATGGGGCTACCTGTGTTAGTGACTGGGCTTTCCTGGTAGCAGAGCCCCTGGTCATGTGACGAGTGTGAGGCGTGTCTGGCTTTTGTCTTCCTTCCTCCACAGTAACAGCTAACTTCTAGGATGTGCAATGACATCTGGTGCCGAGGGTCTTTTTATATACTGACCGGCCATTTGTGTGCCTTCTCTGAGAAATTTCTATTCCAAATCCTTTGCCCATTTTTGTTTTCTCCTCCCGCCCTCTGTTCCTCCCTCTACTTTTTTTTTTTTTAATCTGAGACACGGTCTCACTCTGTAGCCCAGGCTAACCTGAAATTCACTAGGTAGTATTGATTGATATTAAATTTGCAGTAATCCTCCTGTTTTAGGTCTCCAAAATGCTGGGATTACCAGCATGAGTTATCATGCCTGATTTTAATTTTTAATAATAAAATGATAGAACACTTGCATAGTGCATGCAAGACCTGGGATTCTACTTAGAGAGGAGAGAGAGAAGGAGAAAGGGAGAGAGAATGAGCAAGAGATAGAGGAAGAGAGGAGAGATAAGGAGAGAGGGAGAGACAGAGATAGAAAAGAGAAGAGAGAGATAAGGGAAGAGGGAGAAAGAGAGAGGATTTAAAAAAATGTATGCAAGGTTTTGCTCTGTTGCCCAGGTTGACCTGGAACTTATGATCCCTTCTTTGGTCTATTGAATTCTGGGTCACCAAGTGTGTGCCTGACTCTCTCTTATTAGGTACACCTAGAACAGTGTGGTCATAGAGTAGGCACATATCACACGTGTGTCTGTTGTGTGTATGTGTTCGTGTGTGTGTGTTGGGAATGATTTGAACTCAGATCCCCATGTTTGTATGACAGGCACTTTACCAACTGAACCATCTCGCCAGCTCTTTACATGGTTTTTGTTTGTTAGTTTTTATGATACACTTGTGTATGTGGTACATGTGCGTGTATGTGTCTGTTCACATGTGTGTGGGTACACATGCATTTTGATGGCTGAGGCTGACACTAGGAGTCTTTCTTGACTGCTCTTTATTCATTGAAGCAGGGTCTCTAATTGAACACAGAGGGCCAGTCTAGCTAACCAGCTTGCTCCAAGGATCCCCTCTCCGTCTCTGAGACTCTTACTGGCAGGCCACCATACTCACCTGTGTGTGTGTGTGTGTGTGTGTGTGTGTGTGCTAGGAATCTGAACTCAGCAAGTGCTTTATCCACAAACCCACCTCCAGCCCCTTAGTGTTTTTTTTTTTAAGCTTAGAGAATAGTTGAAAGCACAAATTTAAAATCTTTCTTCCCCCTGAGTCACTTGTTAGTAAGCCCCTAAATTTTCAGCACATTTCTTACCAAAAAAGCACAAAATATAACCACCGTAAACAAGGCGTTAATGTTTCTATGTCTCTCCCCCAGATTCTCGTACCCTACTCAAGTGTGGTCAGCTCTCCCAGCACTGTCCTCTTAGCCCAGGCTCCAGCTGAGAGTCTTGTCATTCTGTCTGTCTTGTTTGGCCTCCTTCTGTTCTTGGTCTTCTCTGCCTTTCATTTCCCTGTATAAGGTTGGGGGCTGGCCAGATTCGGGTCCCACAGCATTGGCAGGAGTAGCTGGGCGGACACACCGGCTTTCTCACTGTGCCCCCTTTGGCGGCTCGTAGTTTTGATTGTTTTTAAAACTTCTTAACGTTTTTATTGAGCTATACATTTTTTTTCCTACTCCCCTTTCTTCCTCCCCTTTCCCTTTCTAACCTCTTCCCTGCCCCCATGCTCCCAGTTCTCTGGAGCTGAGGACTGTAGTCTGCTTATCCTTTGCTTTGCTTTATTTCTTCTCTCCACTTATGAGTGAGAACTTTTTTTTTTTTTAATGAGTGAGTACTTACCATATTTGTCTTTCTGAGTCTGAGTTACCTCACTCAGGATGGTTTTCACTCAGGATGGTTTTCTAGTTCCATCTTTTTGCCCGCAAATTTCATGATGTCATTGGTTTTTTTTTTTTTTTTTGAAATGGAGTAATAAATACTCCATTGTGTAAATGTACCACATTTTCTTTATCCATTCTTCAATTGAGGGGCATGTAGGTTGTTTCCAGGGTCTAACTATTACAAATAATGCTGTTATGAACATTGTTGTGCAAGTGTTCTTGTGGTATGATTGAGTATCCCTTGAGTATATTCCCGAGTGATATTGCTGGGCCTTGAGATAGATTCCCAATTTTCTGAGAAACCGCCATACTGATTTACAGAATGGCTGTACAAGTTTGCACTCCCACCAGCAGTGGAGAAGTGTTCTCCTGATTCCACATCCTCTCCAGCATAAGCTGTCCTCAGAATTCCTGATCTTAGTCATTCTGACAGGTGTAAGATGGTTTCTCAGAGTTACTTTGATTTGCATTTCCCTGATGATTAAGGATGTTGAACAATTCCTTAAATGTCTTTTGGCCATCTGAGTTTCTTCTGTTGAGAATTCTCTGTTTAGCTCTCCACCCCATTTTTAATTTTTTTTTTTTAGAGACAGGGTTTCTCTGTAGCTTTGGAGCCTGTCCTGGAGCTAGCTCTTGTAGACCAGGCTGGCCTCTAATTCACAGAGATTCACCTGTCTCTGCCTCCCGAATGCTGAGATTAAAGGCATGAGCCACCACCACCTGACTTTGGACTTGAGTTTTGTGCAAGGCGATAGATATGGATCTATTTGCCATCTTCTATGTGTTGACATCCAGTTATACCAGCACCATTTGTTAAAAGATGTTTTCCCTTTTTCCATTGTCCCTTATTGTTTTCTTTGTCAGAAATCAGGTGTTCATATGTGCATGGATTGGTGTCAGGGTCTTCAGTTCGATTGTATTGATCTACGTGTCTGTTTTCATGTCAATACCAAGCTGTTTTTATTACTATAGCTCTATAGGATAGCTTGAGGTCAGGGTTGGTGATGCCTCAGGAAGTTCCTTTATTGTACAGGATTGTTTTAGCTATTCTGGGCCTTTTGTTTTTCCATATGAAGTTGAGTAATGTTCTTTGGTTTTGATTCTTGATGGGTAGCCCCCCCCCCCATCATCTGGCAGGAGGGCTGTGCTGAGGTTCTACACTGGGAAGCCTTGTTTTTCCCTTGTAATATCTTGTGATGAGGGAGGGCGTTGAACACACATAATTATCCCGCTCATCTAAAATTTCAAGTTATGGGCACATTTATTTGTGTTGTTTTCTAGTTTATTTAAGGGTTATAAATCAGTTGCTATCATAGTTATGTTGATAAGATTTCCTTAGTTTGCGCAGCAGAACTTCCTCCAGGTAAGCATGTATGTCCTTCCATTCTGCTTGGAGCTCTCCTTGTTTTCTGGGGCCAGAGTCCCAGGCTCAACCTAGACTTCCCTGGGACCTGCCTTTCCTCCCAGGAGCCTCTCTGTTTTCAGTGGAGAATAGTAGTTAGAAGCCAATGTCTTGGACCAGTTGTGTTCTCTTCCCCTTGGCTCAGCCCTCTGGCATCCTCTGGCTGCTAGACCAAGTTCCTCCTGAATCCCAGCTCGCCCACACCCTTGTGGCTTTGACCTCAGATGGATAGAGATCTGTTCTCCTTCAGTGTCCCCTTAAACAGAAGGCGTTTATTGGCCCTCATCAGCTAAGTACCCATCCCTGGTCCTGTCAATTAGGGGAAAGGGACACTCTAATTGGCCAAGCTTGGATTGCGGACCAATCCCTCTTTGAAAAGGAGAATGGGTGGGGTTTTACCTAATTGCTGAGAATAGGGACCTACAGGAAAGAAAGGGGCTCTTTCACCCAAAGTAAAGCAAGGGATCTGGGCTGAGAAAACAGCACTCAGCCACTGTAACAAGGGTCTCTCGATGGGATAAGCTCTGAAGGACACAAACAGCCTGTTCTGGGCGGTACACGTGCCAGGAGAGGCCTTTGAGAGGTGTGGCAGGCAGGGTGAGGCCTGAAAACGAGATCCCTAGGGCATAGTGGCAGAGTAGAGAAAACCACCTGACCAGAAGCTTGCCTGGAACTGGACAGTAGCCAGTAGAGACAGAGCCAGGGATGGAGGAGAGCAGGGGAGATAAAGCTGGAGAGGTGGACAGGGAGACGGACCAGGCAGGGCCACAACACACGATGGATGACAAGGAGTTTCACTGAAGGCTTCTAGGGAGAGTCCACAGCAAGAGCTGGTTTACATTTTTCCAAATTTTGTCAGTCTGGGGAGGGAGTGAGGACTGGAGAGACCCACTGGGGAGGAGAGATGGGAGGATGGCTTTCTGGGGACACCATGCTCTATTTTTCCCTCTTTCACCGAATCTGTGACGTGCAGGAACCTCTGAAGATGGGAAGCTCAACATGCCAGAGGACAGAGACGATGGCAACAAAACAGCTCTGGTACGCTCAACTGTCGGCCCCTTCCCTCTGTCCCCTCCCTTCTCCTTCCGCCCTCCCATCCTGCCCTCCTTGCCCATCCTCTTTTTGGGTAGAGTCTTGCTGTTTAACCTTAGCTGGTCTGGAACTTGATATGTAGAACAGGTTGGCATCGAGCTTGTAGCAATCCTCCTGTCTCTGCCTCCTGAGTGGTGGGACACCAGGTACACGTCACCACACCCAGTCCTGGCTTGGCCCCGCCCACCTCTCTGCTCTATCTCTGCTCCCTCCTGGGAGCTCTGCGCTACCTGATGCGCTGAGTAGTCACCAGCCCCTCTTGTTGCTCATCCACCTCCATTTCAGTTTCCTTTGCGCCACTGTGACCAAACCAAAAGACCCGACAAAAACAGTTCAAGAGGGGAAAGGTTTATTTGGCTCACGGATTCAGAGGGTGTCAGTCATCCCAGGGGGAGGCGATGGGAGTGTGTGGCAGATACCTGCACATCCAGCAGACCAGGAAGCAGTGATGGTGGGGCAGGAAGCAGGCCATATCCACAGACAAGCACTCCGAACACACGGATACAAGCGTGTGGGAAACATTTCAGATTCAGACCCAGCAGTCTCTCCCATTAGAGTCTTCCATAGAAGGCCAGGAATCTTTGTTTGTCTTACAGCTGAGCCTTCAGGAGGCAGAGTAATGTTTGGCAAGTAGATTCTAAATAAAAGTCTTTAACAGCTGAATGACTTGTGGGAGGGGCTCTGAAAGGGACAGAAAGGCTAAAAATAGTCTGGACTGTGCCCGCAGAAAAGGCCAGGCCAGCAGGAGCAGACAATTGTGTTATACACGCGTGGATGTGGTGGGATGGTCTGCGGTCAGGAGCAGCCTCCTCCTCTAGAGAGTGGACCTATGGAGTTGAAGTGACTCAGTGCCAGTCCAGGGAAGGCAATCCCTGCCCTCATTCAGTGAGCTTGACAGGGCTCTACAATGTGCTGGATGCTAATTCCAACTCCAAGCACTAAATAGTGACCTGATATTTTAGGCTGGGTCAATAGACCCTTCCCCTAATGTCTGAGGCCAGCCACGACAAAAATACTCTCTTCCAGAGTGGAGGCATGGGAATTTAGAAATATAGTAAAGAATACAAAGAGTGAATGAAAATAATAAAATGCAGAAACATATAGGATGGTATAGGGAGGGAATTTCAGTGAGTACTGAAAATTCACCAGTGTTTGTTTAATTTCCAACTGGTTAATATACCCCTGACCCTAAAACACAGAAGTAAAACAAAAGACTGCTTTGACATACAAATTGAAAGTCACGGGCTATATTCATTGCTGGTGTCCTAGACTCATGACCAAGACCAAACACTCTGTAGGCAAATTCCACCACTCCCTGGGTGGAATCCCAAGATATTTCCACAAAGGGAACTGGAACTTAGTTGGATCCTTAGACTTTTGTTTTAGGTAGGAACCAACTACTTTCCTATTTTAGGAGCACAGGTCTGACAACTAGGCACACCTGTGGACAATAGCCTCCAGAGAGCAGAACTCTGATTCACAACTAGGTGGGACCTTTGCTTGAGTTAGAAGCCCAATAACCTTGAATGAACTAAAAACCAGTTCCAAACTCTGTGACCTCTGGCCTCTTTGGGCCTCCACACCCTTACTCTTGTTACTCTTGTTACTCAGAATTAAGCCTGACTGTCCACTCATGAGCAGCTGTCCCTGGCTATTCATTCTTTATTTATATATAGGTATATATTCTATATTTATTCTATATCGGCACCCTTCCCCCTTTTCAAACTGCAATTAATAACCCAAAGCAGTTCAGTTCAGTCTGCTGCTGGGGAGGAAGGATTCTCAGGGTGACCTTCTCCTTGCTTTGACTGAATTCAGCTGGGTGGTTCATCTGCTCTACATTGTACAGACAGATCTGTTAGGGGGCTGGAACTTGATTGTCCCTTATTCACGAGGCTCCCCGTCTGCATGGGCTCATTCCTCCTTAGTCTAGCCTGACTTTTCTTCACCATGACATCTGGGTGGCAGAAAGGAGAAGCGTGTGCAGGGGTAAACCCTGACGCACGCTCCTTTCACAACAGTCTGAGCCAGAGCTGGAGAAGCTTCTGTCCATTGATGGGACAAGCGGGAAAGAATTTGTTATAATGGATTAAGTAAAAATGCTACAGATCCCCCAAGTGGCTGCAGAGGCAGAAACGCTGCAGATCCCCAAGTGGCAGGCAGTGGGCACCGGGTCCTGAGAGCAGCCAGTCCCAGGCAGGCACGGCGCAGTTCCCCAAGTGGCAGCGAGTCCCATGAGGAGAGACAGACAGATGACGCTATGAGACCATACCACAGGTCTCCACAGGCAGCTGGCCCTGGGCAGGGAGCCACTTGGCGGGCGAGAAACAGAGACATGGATAGGTGAGGTTGGATATTTATTTAGTGGGTTATGGGAGGGAAGGGGAGAGGGAGTAAGGAGAGAAGTGGGAAGAGCAGAGAGAAACAGAGAGAGAGAGAGAGACTGAGAGATGGGGGAAGGGGAAAATGGGGAGAATGGAGTGAGGCAGAAGCTGCCTCTCCGAGAGGAAGATGGAAAAGAGAGGGACTCAGGCCGGAAGCTGAAGATCAGCTGCCTCAGCGGATTGGGGAGGGAGTGGGCGTGACTTGTCTCTTAAAGGGACAGAGCAGACGGTTACACTTGTGGCCATCATTAACATTCCATAGTCTGCATCAGATCAAGGTGGCTTTTTTTCTTCACTGTGTAATGTTAAGCTATTCATTTCATATGACCCTGTTCTTCCTCCTTAGGATGATGGGAATCAATGGGTTGACACAGGCGAATGGGCTCCATCTCTCACATAGCAGAATGCCTTAACTGGACTGGAACTTACCAAAAGGCTTAGGAAGAAGTGTTACTGGTGGTAGACTTTCAGGTTGAGGTCTATGGACCCTTAAGGTCTGTCCTCCTTTAGTTGATTAGAGAGGGAAGGTGCCTTATAGTCCCTCAAATGCAACTTCAGGAGCCATCCTTCCCATCACTAATCATCATCATCATCTTCTTCTTCTTCTTCTTCTTCTTCTTCTTCTTCTTCTTCTTCTTCGTTTTTTTTTTTTTTTTGGAGCTTTGGAGCCTGTCCTGGAACTAACTCTTGTAGACCAGGCTGGCCTCGAACTCACAGAGATCTGCCTGCCTCTGCCTCCCGAGTCATGGGATTAAAAGCATGCGCCACCACCTGGCTCTAATCTTCATATATACCCAGACACCCCCTGCAGAAACATGTCCCTTCTCTTGGGCTGTGATAGCTTTAATTGTCAGCTTGATGTAACCAAGAATCACCTGGGAAGAGAGTTCCAGAGAAAGTGTCTAGACCATGTGTATATGTCTGCAAGGGATTATCTTTTTTTTTGATTTGTACTTTTTATTGATATTTATTGAGCTCTACATTTTTCTCTGCTCACCTCCCTGCCTCTCCCCTTCAAACCTCCCCCAAGGTCCCCGTGCTCCCAATTTACTCAGGAGATCTTGTCTTTTTCTACTTTCTACTTCTCAAGGGATTATCTTGATTACATCAGTTGGGTACCTGCCCCACTGTGGGTAGCATCATTCCCTAGGCAGGGATCCTGGACTGTCCCGAGAGGGGGAGAGAGGAGCTGAGCACTTTATTGCCTATGGGTGTCATGTGACCATTACTCTAAAGCTTCTGTCCTATGACTTCCCCACCACGATGAATGGTACCCTGAACTGGGGGCCAGAATAAATCCTTTCCCCTTAGGTCACTTTTGCCAGGGTGTTTATATTCGTTTATTTACTTTGGTGGGTTTTTTTTTTTTTTTTTTTTTTTTTTTTTTTTTTTTTTTTTTTTTTTTTTTTTTTTTTTTTTTTTTTTTTTTTTTTTTTTTTTTTCTTTCCTTATATTTTTTTTTTTTTTTTTTTTTTTTTTTTTTTTTTTTTTTTTTTTTTTTTTTTTTTTTTTTTGTTCTCTCTGTGTAGCTCTGGCTGTCCTGGAACTCGTTCTGGAGACCAGGCTGGCTTCAAACTCACAGAGATCCACCTGCCTTGCCCCCCCCCCCCCCCGAATGCTGGGATTAAAGGCCTGCGCCACTAGGCCAGGTTTTATTGGAGTATTTTATCTCAGCAATCAGAAACCAAACCTAGACATGGACCGATGCCAGGGTTGGGTGGCTGGGGAGAGCTGCAGGTGCTGGGTGACCAGAGGGTGCTGTCCATGCTGCTCAGATGGAGGGCAGGACTCAGGGAAACCCTGCGGGTCTGCTTCCATGGCCCTGAAGGTAGAGAACACCATTGCTTTCCAGAAGGATCAGGACCTGATGGAAACGAAAGGAGAAAAGGAGACAACAGTGAAGATGATGATGGTATGGGAGCCACAGGCCCAGCGCTGTGGGGGTGGGACTTCCGGAGAGAGCTGGGAGGGGGATAGAAGCAGGCGGCAGGCCTCTTGGGCTTCAGGCTCAGTTCTACCTCTCACTGCCCCTCCTGCCAAGAGGGAGCATGAGCAAGTCATTTCCCTTTTCTGAACCTCAGTCTTCCCATCTCAGAAATGGGTGTGATCATGCCTAGCTTTGCTTGTGGGAAGACACGACCCAGGGATTAGCCCATTGTGAAGTCTCTGCAGCTGAGAGCAGCTGTTGTCAACCCTTTCTCCCCCTCCCCAGAGATGCCTCTTGGCGGGTAACTTCAGAGAGCTCCCTAAAGCAGCTTCCTCTTAACCATACATCACTCACCACGGGGGCTTTCACAGTTATATTTGGCTTTGTGGTCCTTAAGAGAGAAAGGGGCTAGGGGGCTTAGCCCAGACAGCGGTGTTTGCCTCACAAGAAAGAGGTCCTGAGTTTGAAGCCCAGAACACACATAAAAATCAGGCATGGTATTTAGACACACCTTTATAATCCCAGCGCTGAGAAGACGGATAATGGGCCCTCTGGTCAATCAGACCAGCCTAACTGACCAGCTTTGGACCCCAAGGAGAGCCCTTGCCTCAAAAACCAAGATGTGTGGCTCCTTAAGAATGATACACTCTGGTCTCTGCATACATGTGCACGTGAGCGCGCGCGCGCGCACACACACACACACACACACACACACACACACACACACACACACACCTCACATACCCATCTGCCCATACACGATGCATAAGAAAAGAAACTTTCTCCCTTTGACTAGCTGACATTAATTGAACACCTACCTTGTGTAGTTGTTAGATGACAGGTGAAAAGTAGGAGGATGTTTGAGGAGTTCAACTGGACAGCTCTCAGTGGCCACGCCTGATGCTTGTTACGTGGGTCAGTTCCATGGTTTAGCTGTCAGTCACAGAAAGGGTACCATGGGGACGGCCCTTACTGAGCTCTCCACGTGGGACGTGCAGATCAGGGCGCTGAGGGTTGAGTGGTCTTGAGAGCTTGAGGTTGGTCTAGGCGGTAGCTGGGAGAGTGTGCCCAGGTCCAGAGCCTGCATGACCTGCGGTCCGAGCCTGGGAGTCAGCCACAGCTGCCCTCACCGGCTCTGTGCTCTCCACTCAGAGACAGATTCAGGAAGAGCCTGTGGATTCCCTTTTGAGCCCTGTCCGCCGGCAAGCCATGGAGATCCTGGCACAGCTGAGGTACCCACCGCTTGTGTGTGCCTCTCTCTCCTAAGCTCTGCTCCTTCTCCTGCGCCTCTGTCCACTCGGAGCCATCCCCTCTCTCCCTGCCCGGTCTCCACAGAACAGGTCACCTCCATGCCCTTGCTTGCGCCTCAACCTGTCCCAGGTGGCCTAGCTGAAGCCGTTGCCCTCCTCCCCCCTATGTCCTCGCCCCCTCTCTCACTCCCCCCCTTGCGCCCTCTCTCTCTCTCTCTCTCTCTCTCTCTCTCTCTCTCTCTCTCTCTCTCTCTCTCTCTCTCTCTCAGTCACACCAAGCCTGCCCTGAGTGTGCGGGACAGGGTGGAGCTGGTGAACACCTGTGTGCGGAGCGTGTTCTCCCTGCCCTCGGTGCGGGCCATGCAGGAGAAAGACGAGGCCAAGGCAGAGGTCATCCAGGTGAGCCCGCTCCTCCTGGTGGGTCTTTAGGTTGGGGACAGAAGGGACAACTCACAGGGATGAGCAGGGGCTTTCTATAATTAGTCCGCCGTGAGCGCCCCCCGCCCCCGCGGCCCCCAATCCTTGACTGTTGGAATCACTGGAGTGATTCACCTCTCCTGTGTCAGCCTGAACAGGTGCTCGATAACCGTTTAGCAAATGAGGGAGCTATTGCAGTAGTGACTCCCTAGGAGGGCGTGTCCACTTGTAAACCCTGTCCTGTATCTGGGATGTAGACAGAGGCTCCAGAGTCATAGGAAGGGGCCAGCTTTAGAGGGTAGGACCAAGGACTGGGCCGTAAGGAAGAAGACTGGGGAAAACTGGGCAGAGATCTGGAGGAACAGAACCTCAAAGAGGGTTTGGCAAGCATCCTGAAAGCCTCGGCAGAGTTATTCCTGGAGGTACCAGTGGGGTGGGGCTTAGCTGTAGGATGCTGTAAGATGCAAGGAGAGCTAGGGTCAGGCAGGAAGTTGGGTGAGAGGAAGCCCAGCTGTTCCATCCCCTTTTCACTCAGCAGGTGTTAACCGTGTTCCTGGCCACATCACTATGGCCATCTTGTAGCAGTGGGGATGGGGTGGGGGTGGGGGGAATGCTATCAAAGAATCAGTCAAATGCGAAATCTCAGGGGTGGTCAGCACTACACACATAACCTACGGGGTACAAAAAGGAGTGTGGATGAGGGACATGGCCTAGGGAGGGTGGGAGATGTTGTGATTCCCTGCAAGAGGGTGTTATAAAGAACCTGTCCAGAACCCGTGCCAACTGCCAGGACGACAAGAGGCCGTGTGACTGGAGCCTGAAGGGTGAGACAGGAACTCTGAGAGCTTAGGATGGTAGGAGTCAGGCCACACAGAAAGATAAACTCTGGGTTCTCAAGTTGATGCCTTGTGGGGACTCAAGGTCACCGCCAGAATCCTTGCAGTGGAAAGAACAGGCAGCTCTCTTGTAGTTACGAGTATTGCCGGCAGAGGGCAGTAGTGTCTAATAAGCAGCAGCAATAGAAACAAGCGGGTTGTAGGGCTTGCTTAGTGGTTGCGGTGTGATCCTAAGGGCCACTGACTCTAGAGTGTGTGAAATTAGGAAGCTGGGACAATGACAACCCAGGGAATAGACTTATGGAAGCCCGCAGAAGGAGAGCAGGTAAGAAAGAGAGGGAGTAGCAGTCTGAGCTCCACCACTCAGCTTTGCTTGTCCTCACGGAGCAACTGTGGGACTGTAGTGTGGGAAAATGAGGAGGAACCTGGGCAGGGCAGAGATGGCTTCCCTAAGGGTTGCCTGGGATCTAGAGGGGTCTGGAAGTAACAGGAAGCAGAACACTTTGGAGACGATAAAGCCAGATGGGCCTGGCAGATCTCCAGCCCTAAGTCTTTGTTCCTTGCTGCGAGACCTTGGATAGGTGTTCCCGGATCTGTAAAATAAGAAAAAAAAAAAAATTTAAAGACCAAGTGATGGAAGATGCTTAAATCACTAGGCACTTGTCTGGCTCACGCCAGGCAGAGAATGCCAGGCTTCTGCTCATGCCTCACCCCCCACCCCCAGGAAGTCCGGGGATACTAATTCCCAATTTGTTGCTAAATAAACTCGATTCCACAGAGAGGAAGTAATTTTCCTACTATTGTATATTAGGTGAGGCACAGAGATGGGGCCAGATACAGTTTTTGTGTGTCCAAGTGCGCCCTCCTCCAGGACCAACCCAGGGGGTGTCCGGGGCTGGCAGCTTTGCTGGGAGCCCCCAGCAGCCCTGTCCTCTTTCTGTCTACAGACACTTTACCACCAGACCTTAGATTCCTTGCAGAAACTGCTCAATGCCCTCTTTATCGAAGACCCTACGCCCGCAGGACTGAAGAGCATCTTGGAGGTGTGCGGCACGGTGGCTGGGGAGGGAGCGGGGAGGCAGAGGGAAACAGGAAAACTTGATAGAAGTGGGAGGTGGATCCCAAAGGAGTGACTTCAGGACATCGGCTCAAACTCATGCTCTGCTTCCCCATAGTAATTTATATCGTTTTACTGAGTTTTTGATGACACTGGGGGTTGGACCTAAGCCCTCACACCTCCTAGATAAGCTCTACCTACTGAGCTACAGCCCCCCCCCTTTTTTTTCTTTTTGGTTTTTCGAGACAGGGTTTCCCAGTGTAACAATCATAGCTGTCCTGAAACTAGCTCTTGTAGACCAGGCTGGCCTCGAACTCACAGGGATTCACTTGCCTCTGCCTCCTGAGCGCTGGGATTAAAGGCGTGCACCACCACTGCCTGGCACCATAGCTCTTTTTAAAACTTTTTTTATTTGTAGACATTGTCTTAGTGAGTTGCCCAGTATGATCTCCTGAGTAGCAGGGGTCACAGGCCTGGACCTCTGCCCTTGTGCTCCCTACAGCCACCCCTTGCATCTCCTATCCTTGCCTCACCCCCTTTCCTCCATCCTGACCCCTGTCGCTGTCCCTTCCATGCCTCTTCCTTGACCCCTCTCCCTTCCTCTGGTCTGAGTCCCATTCTCAGCTCAAACCCCATCTGTCATTGAGCCACCAGAGGAGCAGGACAACTATGACTAATTGCCTTCTTCTGGAAGATTCTTGCAAGCTATTGGCCTACCTGTTGGACAGCAGGGGCTGGCAGTCAATGGTAGCAGAGTCTCTCCCTTGTCCCCCTAGCCCCTAGGGCCCTGGATGAACTCTGGGAAGGCCCATGAGCGTGCACGGGCTGTGAACAGTAACATCTCTGTGCTGAACCACACACTCGTGACCCTGCCTTTCTCCGTGAGTGTTCCTGGAGGGGTGGACACGCTGGGGACTCTTCTCCTCTGATCTCCTGCTGTCAGGGCAGCTTGCCCTGCACTATATAGCGACAGACTCCCTCCCTGTGGTTATGACACTAACAGATGTCCTCAGGGTTCCCAGCACTGGGTCTGCTGCTGGGGAGGCTCCTTCTTCGTATCGGGGATCCTGATGAAGAGATCGGCCGGGAGGCTCTGGACGGCATTGCCATCCTCTACACTATCCTGGATCTCCAGAAACGTATGTCCCAAGCAGCTGCACAACTGGAGAGGGGAGCTTGATGGTACAGTTGGGCAACCGGAGGCAGGGCAACAAGGGTCAGGTGGGGATTGGGAGCTGATGTGAAACCCTTATCTCCATACAAACTAGCCTTTATTCTGCATGTTTTGTTTTAGAGACAGGGTCTTAACTATATAGCTAGCCTCTCAAGTACTGGGGCTATATGCATGTACTGCCCTGTCTAGATAGCAAATTCATATTGATAGAAGCCACCCTTCATTAACTGAGCTTTTCTGTATTGTTCCATCCTTAATTCCTCCTTCCCATGGTACCATGGGTATCTAGGCATGATGGATGACTTCTTTTGTCTGTCATTCCTACTAGGCTGTAATACCACGAGGGAAGGGCAAGGTCCTCTGTTGGTCCCGAGTGTAGTCCTGGCCTGGCATATGACCATATTCACAGACTATGCATTAGGAACTAATGAAGGCCAGGTCCTCCATTGGAATCTGGAGCCTGTAAGTGAGAGACCGTCCTGAGATTAGGCTTCAGGGAGCCTGTGAGATGGCATGTGCCTACCTCTCGCTGGACTGCCCAGTGCTAGCCGCCTCCAGCCTCTGGCCTCTCTCTCTCCTTCGTCCTGACTCTATCTCAACCAGGAAACTTTGGCTGGTCACTTAGACTCCCTGACTGTGGAGGCAGAGTGGCCTGTATAGCAGACCTGGCTGTGACATTCAACTTTCCCAGCTGGGTGGCCTCAGGCCAGCACTCGCCTTGCCTAGATTTCCTCATCTGTACAGGGTTACGGTAGAGTGTAATTCATAGCTTTTTTGAAATATTAAATGCTATTCTTCATAAGAGCACATGGAAAGACGAGCTTAGGGCTCCATGTCATAGGCCCTTATCACACAGAGCTTTCTTCTCCCCCCACCCCCCGATTCTGGGATCCGTCTGGGGTCTCTGCTCTTTCTTAGTTACAGCATTTGGGGCAGTGTTTCCCGAGATATTCCTCCACTGACTGGGGTTCATGACCCTTAAGTGGTAGTCTACAATACTGATTGGCCCTAGGATGGGGAGAGTACAGACCAAAGCGAGGCTGCCAGAGATGGCTGGAAACGGAGGACGTCCAGTTTAATTTGAATGCAGATGAACAATGAGTCACTTTTCAGGTATCTGAGTATGATCTGTCCTGCTGAAACCCAGGTTGAGCTGAGAGCCCCAGGCCACAGTCACTCTGGAGGAGGGGGACATGAGTTTGGATTGGCAATCTGTGGAAAGTGCAAGGCTAGCCTGGAGCTGGCTCTGCCTGGCCACGGAACCCCGGGCCCTTCTGCCTCTGATCACTCACGCTGCCTCAGCGACCCTTTCTTGTGCCCAGGCTTTGTGCAGACTGAATGGCTCCAGGAAGGACCCAGGTCTGGCTCCGATGAGGGCATAGTCCCTAAATGTGTTTCCTTTCCCAGAAGACCAGGAGGCCCTCTGTGCCAGGCACTGCCCGAGCTCTGAGGGCACAGCCTCGAGAAGAGATCCGTTAAGCACCTCTCTCTTTGACTTACCTTCTCGTTGCCAGGAGACAGATAATAGGCAAGACAAACAAGTAAAGCACAGAGTAAGTTAGATACAAAGGGAACAAAAGCAGCAGAGGCTGGAGAGACCAGCATTTGCTAACGGTGTCGCCAGGGCTGGGCCTGGCAGCACATAGTGACAATATCAGTACTGGATGGGAAGGTCGAGGCCATCCTGGACAAGAGACCTCGCCTCTGGAAACACACACAATAGACCAGATATGGTGGTGCACAGCACTAGGGGAGAGAGGCAGGGACATAGGCCTTCAAGCCCTCCTCTGCAGCAGAGAGAGCTGGAGGCCAGCCTGGGTTATGAGAGCCCCCATGTCTCAAGAAAACCAAGCCTAAGTAGCAATAAACCGACAAAATAAAAACACCACCTGAACACAAGAACAGCTCAAATCCAAAAGAGGATTGCAAAGCTGTGGGTATCCAGTGGGTAAGTGCTTGTCTAGCATGCGTCAGGCCCCGAATTCTACCCAAGAACTGGAAACGGGGTGAGGCAGATGTGGGGGCTGCCCCTTTAATCTCTGCACTCTGGAGGCAGAGGCAGGTCTGTGAGCTAGAGGCCAGCCTGGTCTACACAGTGAATGCCAGACCAGCCAGGGCTACATGGTGAGGCCCTATCTTAAAAACAAAAACCAAACCAAACTAAACAAACAAAAAACAATTTTTAAAAAAAAGGGGGGGGGAGAAAAGCCACTGGCTACTAGAATAGCAATAACAAATGAAATAGATAATGCCTTGGGCTGAAGCAGCAGGGGCTCTTGCACACTGCTTGGGGAGACAGGGCTAGGAAATGGTCTAGCACGTCTCATGAGGGTAAGCCCGAGCCTACTGTGAGTCGGGGATTTCTCCCCTGGCGCATCCCTGGCAGACGCGTCAATATGTTCACCAGGAGACTTGCTGTGTGCCCATAGCAGCACAGGGCAGGAAGGCTGGAAGCAGCCTAGAGGTGCATGCCAAGTAAGACAGGCATGCACGCTGCAGCCCTCCTAGTGTGGGAAACGACCACACTGCAAATGAATGAGAGTAAGTACTGGCGGCTGCAGGGTAGAACCATCCACAAGGGATAATGTTTTGCGAGTCCATTGATGAGAAGTTCAAAAGCAAGGCCCTCTACCTAGGGCCTCGGAAACCAGAACAGTTGTTGCTCTGGGTGCTAAGAGGGGTCTGAGGAGGGGCTCCTGGGGGGGGGGCTAGTTGTGTTGTTTCTTGGCTTGGGTACCAGCTGTCTGCGCCTGTTCACTATGTGAAGACCGACTGTGCAGATGATGATGTGGGCTTGACAGACCCTTCAAAGCACTGGTGGCGTCAGGGTTCCTCAGAAGGTGTCTTCTCCTGTAGGAACCAAGGACAAGGAAGACACCAACAAGAAAGAGCTGTATGAGAACAACAAGCACTTCCTAGGGCCCTACAACCCTGTCAGCCCATGCCAGAACATTCTGCGTGTCATTGCGGTGACTACCAGTGGTCCCGGCTCCCAGGACGGGATGGGAGGGACAAGGGGTTGCCACTAGAAAGCATCCTAGGAAGGAAGCCTTCTCAGGCGGCACAGCCTTCCCGGGTGCCCTCCTCTGTCCTCTCTGTTCTATTTATGAGCTGTAATGAATATCTGATATACAGGGTATCCGATGTGTGACCCTGCACATCAGATATTTACATTCCATTTCATAACAGTAGAAAAATTATAGTTATGAAGTAGCAGTGGAATAATTCTGGGGGGGGGGGTCGCCACAACATAAGGAATTGTGGGAAAGGGTGGAAGCATCAGGGAGGTTGAGAACTGCTATTCCAGCCCATGACTTCCTTCTCCCGGGCGCTTGCCAGCCAATTCTGGGGGCAGGGGCCATATTGCCCCTGTCCATTGTCCTCCCCTTCCTCCTCTCTCTCTCTCTCTCTCTCTCTCTCTCTCTCTCTCTCTCTCTCTCCCTCCCTCCCCCCCCCCCCCCTCTCTCTCTCTCCCTCCCTCCCCCCCTCTCTCTCTCTCTCTCTCTCTCTCTCTCTCTCTCTCTCTCTCTCTCTTCCTCCCTCCCTCTCTTGCTTTTCCTTCTTTTAAAGATGGAGCCTTGTTACCCTCCTAGGGCTACTCTCAAACCCCTGGGCTCATGGAGTCCTCCTAACTCAGCCTCCTAAGCAGCTTGGGCTACAGGAGCACCTTAGTGCCCCGCTGTCCCTCTGACCTCGTCAGCGGGTCTAACATGCACGCATTAGAGAATATGTGTGGTGCCCGGCACCAACCTTTCTCTTCGAGTTAGGTGGAGTCTATGCTCCTCTGTATGTCTCAGGGGATCCACCTTACGCAGCAGTGCCAAGACCTCTCTACCCATATTTCAGGAATTTGGAGACTTCCTGGGGCCCCAGCAGGTAAAGGACCTTCTGTTAGCAGCCTTGGAAGGCCTGAAGGACATCTCAGAGGCTCAGGGGAAGGACTCCGGGGAGATGATGCAGCTGGCCTCGGAGGTCACACTCAGTTCTGTGCTGGAGTGGTATCGCCACAGGGCGCTGGAGGTGGTAAGGCCTCTTGGAGGCAGAGGCCCAGATATCAGACTGGGGGAGTTCCCCGGGGATCCTGCTTCTACTGGGATAACCTGCCTGCCCGTGGGCAGGGTTGGAACTGAGCACTGGGCTAGGAAGAAGGAGGAGGCACCAGCCCTGAGGGGGGACGTCAGTTAGGGGTCTGTCTCACTCCAGGGGGAGTAGCAGGCCCCTAAACATCTCTCCCCACTTCTGTCCTGTCCTGTGCTTCCTCCCCTGTCTCTTTGGTCCCCTTCTGTTACTCTACCCTACGTCCTTCGTCCTTCTGCCGTCTACCCATGCTTCTTGTCCCCTCTCTGCTTCTCCTATGAGTCTGCCTTCCCCCTGCTCACGGCGGCCTCCAGATTCCAGAGATCATGCAGGGCATCTATATGCAACTGAGCCACATCCAGGAGCCGCGGGCGCGTGAGGTGGCCCTGCTGCCCATCTCCTTCCTGGCCAGCTCCTTCATGACCGAGGTCGTGGTGGCCCTGTTCATGTGCCCCCTCCCACTGGACAGGTACCAAGCAAGGAGGCTTCCATCTTCTAGACCTCAAAGGCTTGAGGCAGTCCTGTCCCAGGCTGAGACGCTCTTGTCTAGAGAAGCCCCACCCTTCCCTGCTCCTACAGTCTGTGGTAACGACAGCCAGCCAAGCTCTGCCCGAGCATTGCCGGATCTATACTGAAAATCCAGTCTCTAATTCCCAACTCAGCGCTGGTCTCCAGAAGTTGAAATGAGGCTCCGGAGATACTTCTTGGCCTCTATACCCATTGAGGCATTGCTAGCGTGGGGATCTACACTCAGATCCGACTGACTCCAAGGCCTGGAGCTCTTTCTTTAACGGTAGCTGCTGGTCTCGGGTAGCTCATGTGCCCTCTCTGGTCTTCAGCTTTCCCTTAGGAAAGACTGCTCCACAGTGTCAGTGAGCAGAAGGCGCTCCCTGCTCGCTGCCTCCATGGAGGTCCTTGTCTGGGCTGGAGAGGAGCCTAGCCAGATGGTGACAAAGGACAAGTCTTGCTTCCGTTAGTTAGCCTGTTGGACAAGCCCTTCGATTGCTCCTTTAAATGAATGAATCGGGAAAGGGACTACATAGGGTGGTTGATTCTGAGGAAATGTGGAAGAATATGCAGAACTGTGCAAGAGGGGGTGTGTGCCCAAGGAGCAGGTCAGTCACAGAGTCAAGATCAGGGGACCCTGAGGGCCAGCTATTTATCCCAAGAAGTTAACCATTATAGCGTATTATAGCTGTACTGCCCACCAGGGGGAGCTCTTCTCTCTCTCTCTCTCTCTCTCTCTCTCTCTCTCTCTCTCTCTCTCTCTCTCTCTCTCCCCCTTCTCTCCATCTCCCTTCCCCCCTCTCTCCTCCCCTTGTCTCCCTCTCCCTTTCCCCCTCTCTCTGTCTCTCTCTGTCTCTCCTTTCTCTCCCTCTCCCTTCCTCCCCTCTGTCTCTCTCACACACACAGAGTCGGCAACCCACATGAATGGGGAGACAGTGACAAGGAGAAGAGGAAGGGGGGTGTTGTTCATTATATATCCCAGACTGTCCTCAAACTCATGGCAATCCTCCTGCCTCCTACTTTCAGGTACTGGAATTACATTAGGGTGTTTTTCTTTTCTTTATGCAGTGCTGGGACTCGAACCCAAGGCCAAGCTATGCAAGTGCCCTATCGCTGAACTGCAGCCGAAGGGGGGTTCTTTTGTGATCCACTCAGTCACTAGGTCACCAGGGTGCCCTTGACTTGGTGGCCACTTTTGTGTACCTGAGAATGAGGGCTTCTCACTATCTATTCCCTATATGCTTCCCAGGTAAACCTTGGCTGTGAGGGTAGGAGAGCCAGGGGACTCAGAGGGACCAGAGTCTCTTACAGAATACTTGTTTTCTGCATCTCTGCAGAGAATAGTTCAGCCACAAGGGTCACAGTCCTTGGGGAGCCCCATGCTGTTCCATTGGTTCTTATAGTTAATGATAGTTCCCCCTGTCCAGATGTTATATATACCAGGCAGCTATAAACATGATCATTTTTACCCTAAGCAATGTTGCCTAGCAACGTAGTTGAAATACTATCTTTATTGGGTTTCCAGGAGAACAGAGCTGGGAAATGAGCGGGAGGTTCAGATGCTCTGGCATTCAGGCGAAAGGGTTTCAGTAACCCTTTAGCTCACTGCCAAATGCCCAGAGTCTGCCCTGCTGCTGCTGCTCCTGCTGGCATAGCTTTGGGCAAAGGGCGTGGAGTTTGCTTCCTGGAGTCTGGAATAAGGGCAAGATCCAAGCCCCAGAGGGCTCTGTGACCTCCACTCCTGCTCTTAGGAGACAGCTTCGGAGTCACCGGGTGTGGTCACATCTTACCTCTGCAGCCTGTTAGCAGCAGCATCTTGGACTGATGGTTTTACCTCCCCGAGCCTCCATTCTGCCTCTGTAAAATGGGAATAATGTCCTTTATTATTGGGCGAGAAGTCAGTGACTTGGAGCGTTTCCAGGCGTCTGCGTCTGTATCCTCAGAGATTTGCTTGGTGCCTGGTACACTATGCCCACTCTAATGAATGTTTGCCCAGTGACACACTACATGAGGATAAAGAGGCTGAAACCTGCAAACGAGGTTCTCAATCACTGCCAGCCTCCTGCCTCATGGAGAATGCTTTCAGTACCACTCCTTGTGGGTGTGCTCCTGGATACCATTTCATTGGCCCTGAACCCCAGCCCTGAAGCTATTGGCATCAGGTGGCCTCTGCCTTACCAACCACTAACTATCCTCCCTCCTCCTTAGCAACGGGGCAGAGATGTGGAGGCAGCTGATACTTCGAAAGCCCAGCTGTGACGTCCGAGATCTGCTGGATCTGCTCCTGACTAGCCTGAAGGAGAAACCCATCACCAAGAAGGGCCGGGCCTCCATTGTGCCCCTGGCGGTGAGGACCAGGCACCTGCTTTCCTTCCCTGTTACCCCACTCAGCTTGTTGGTCCTATCTGCCAGAGGCCACAGGCACCATGCTTTCCTAGACTGACTTAGTGAACCAGTCCCAGCCTCTCAGAGCAATAAGCTAGGCTACAGCCAGCGGTGCTGGGAGGATGGACTGGGTCAAGCCACTGGCCTCCCCTCTACCCCTAGGCAGCCAGTGGCTTGTGTGAGCTCCTGTCCGTCAACAGCTGTGTGAGCCGTGTGAGGCGCATCTACCCTCAGCTGCTCCTGGCTCTGCTCATTCAGGTCCATTATCACATTGGCCTCAGCCTGCCCAGCCGCGTGGCTCCTCGGAAGGATGCCAAGGATGACACGCAGCCTCCTGTCTTCTTACCTGTATGGTAGGCCCCATCATCTGTCTACCCTGCTATCCTTGCAGTGGGGAGGGCTTCCTCCCCAGCAAGGGTCCCTCAAAGATCTTATTCATAAACTTAACTCGAGCACCAGAAGTGGAGCATACATTTGTTTTTAGAAATAGGACCTCACGTAGTCCAGGCTAGCCCAGCACTTGTTATGTAGATGAGGATGATCTTGAACTTCTTTCTGATCCTCCTGTCCCCATCTCCCTAGTCACTGGGATTGTAGGCATGCTCCACCCTGACCGGTTTATCTGGTTCTATGGTTCAAATCTCGGGCTCGGTTGACACTGACCAAGCATTGTCTATCCACCCAGCTGCCTCTCCAGACACTAGAGATGCGATGTTACTGGACTCACACCCCCGTTCCGCAGCTGGTTCTGAGTCCCTTTGTCTGCATCCCACAGCTCTGATCAGTGCCTGGTGGCTTGACAGGATGAGTGGTCCAGGGATCTTTACCCGCTGCCATCTCCAGCGGACTTGCTCGTATTAGACGTGTATCACAGACCCACCAATGTTCCTATTGATTGGAACATCATCTATGTACACAGGGAGGGGGGAGGAACAGGGCATTAAAATCAATTCTCTTTTTCCTCTTTGTACCCCAGATGCCTTCCCAGAAGAGAAGCAAGTTTTTTCCTTCATGCCCTTTCAGGGGTAGTTAGTTTAGATGAGCACATGGGTTTATATTTATTTTTACGGGTGCTAGCCTGTGACACAGGCACACATTTGCTCTTAGGTATCTAGTCTTGGAGACCTTCATGCATACAGCTGCCTCATTACTTTTGACAGTGGGGCATCCTTATGTACAGAAGTTCAGTCCCGTAATGGGCAGCCCTGCAGCCCTCCTCCTGATTCGGGCACTTCCTTACCCTTTGCAATGGCAGAGACACTGCTGTGAGCTGGCTTGCATAGAGACACGCATGTGATTGTGTGTGTAGGATGGACTCCTGAAGGGAGGGTGGGGCACCGATGGACTTCTGCATGGGGATGCTGAAATGGCATAGGAATGAATGATGGAGGAAGTTAATGACCATTGAGGGGTGAACATTGAAATGAGGGGCCAGTGAGATAGGCCAGCAGATAAAGGTGCTTGCTGTCAAGCCTGAGTTTCATCTTCGTGACCCACAAGACAGAGAGAATCGATTCTCTGACCTCTGAAGGCACACATGCGCTCACACATACACACAGATTAGCTAAAATGTAGCAATTCCTCCACTGCCCCATCTACCAGGGTGCCCAGAGAAAGCCGTCACGAGTGGTTGTGGTCTATGCCAGTACCTACATCCCCACATCTATTCTCGGCTAATGTATTGCAGAACATTTTAATCTTTGCAAATCTGAGCTGCAAAAAAAAATGGATTTCTTTCTTTCTTATTCTTTTCTTTAGATAAGGTTCTTAAAAGGAATCATGATTCTCCTGCCTCATATCCTGAGTGCCGGGAGGGCAGGATTCTGCCACCACACCTGGTGTGTGTGCGTGCGTGCGCGTGTGTGCACATGTGCTGGGGGTTTAGTTTTAATGTCTCTCATTTGAATGAAGCTGAGATTTAAATGGCATTTGTATTCCCGTTTATGTGAGCAAGTTGCCCTTGCCCTTTGTCCATCCACACAGGGCTATTGGGGATTTTTCTTAGCAATTTTTAAAACTATTTTATTTCCATTTTCCCTATTAATGTAGGAGAACCCATTTTACTAAGGGAATTAACTGTCATTTATATTATATTTGGCTACTTAACCTGTGCTTATGTTACGTCTTTTGTCATTCAGAAAGTTAACTGTTTCCACGGCGTGCCGGTCCATTCCCTTTCTCATCCTTGTGTGTTGCCCTTACAGAAGCATATTCAGGAGGGCAAAGGACAAGTCGCGTGTGGCTGGAGGCCTTTGATACAGAGCTGTCCATCACGTTTGCTCTGTTTGTTTGTTTTTTTCCCCGTTTGTTTGTTTGTTTCGATAGTTAACCTTTTGGCCGCCCACCCCCATGAGATGAATGCCTGATTTCTGCCTCATGGTTGTGCAAACTGATAGCCTCACCCACAGCTAGAGAGACACCCACCGTCCATCTTGCATCGCTTCCTATTCTTTCCGGGGCTGTTATGTTCCTGGGCAACAGCAGGAAATGAAGGGGTGCTGCAGCCACAGTAGGAGGAACACAGATGGAGGCATCCCTGCCTGGAAGTGATAAAGGGAATGGCCTCCAAAAGAGGAGGAGTCTGCTCCGCTAAGACCACAGGACCCCTAGAAGGAAGCCAGAGTCCCCACCCTACCCATAGCCACAGCAACAGCACACCTACCCGCAGACATGGACAGCTCATCTAACCCATATCCCTGCCAGCGGGAGCACAGCCCTGCCAACACCTTAAATCTGGGTTCCGGCCTCTAGAGCCAGCAGTCCTTCCTGCTGCTTTACGGTTACCTGTGGTAGCTAGCCACGGCAGCCACGCTGTTGTGTGGCCTTTGTGTGACTCCTTGGTCCTCCAGACTCAGTGACAGATGAAAAAGTCACCCTACAGAAGTAGTCACATCTCCTGTATGGCGAGGGGTAAAGGCTATGAATGTGACAGCTCTATTGGTACCAGGTGACATGTCTCATGTGAGTTTGACGGGAAAGAGGGACTGCTGGATTCAAGCACACGGACATAGGCACGACCTGAGGGTTTTGGCAGCCCTGGGCGTTTCAGTTGTTCCGTGTGGTGCCGTGGCTGTCCAGTCACCATTCAGGGACTGGGGAGGCAGAGGCAGGTGAGTCTCTGTGAGTTCGAGGCCAGCCTGCTCTACAAGAGCTAGTTCCAGGACAGATAGGAGTGTTGCACAGGGAAACCCTGTCTCAAAAAAAAAAAAAAAAAAAAAGGAAAAAAATAATTTTACAATCAGTTTCTTGACTGGCCACTGTTTGTCTCCAAAAACAGAAATGGAAAAAAAGAAAAGTAGCTTTGGTGCTTGCTTGGATTGCTAGCATCAGCCGCTGCTGCTACTAACCACATTCCCAACATTTTAGCTAAAGTGACATTTAGATCGACCTTAACACTTTTCTGGGGTCTAATTTTAGTCACAGTGACATCTTTGAGGCCCTTTAGAAGGGACAGGTCTTTTTTTCTCTGAGGTTAGAGGCTCTCCGGCAGGACGGGGTGGATCTAAGCAGCATTTGGGCCCAGTGAGTATAAGGTCCACCTGTCTGACCTGGAGCTGACCCAGAGAACCTGAGTCAAATGAAAGACAGCAGTTGAAACGTTGCAAGAGATAGTACCAATGTAAGAACTGCACTAGTGATCTGGAGCACACTCACTTCCATCCACTACACCTGGGAGGAACATGAAAACACATTCCAAGGACAATTCGTGTTTTGAAGAAACTGAGGTCATTAGACTTTTGTTTTCTCACAAGTCCTCAGAGTTCTTCTCACTCGACTTCATTCTTGGACTGTGCTCCCCACAATGGTGGTTCCCCTAAGACTGTAGGAGAGCCCACGTAAGCTGGAGTAAGTACACACCATGATGCTGAAAGAACCCCGGAGTGGGAAGACTCTCAGTCAAGTCTCGGGATAACACGACCCCCCAGGAATTCACGAGAGACCGTTCTTGCTGCAATCACACGAGGTTTATTGACAGGACAGGAACCAGTGCACTGGGGCGGAAACTCATTTCCCATGCAGGGGTGAAGAGTTGGACCCCGAGTAGCTGGGAGAAGGGGTATTTAAGGGAAGAAACCACAACCCAGTAATCTAAAGGGGGTAGGGAGGGCGTCATTGGAAAATTCCAAAAATACCAGTGATAATCACAAGGGGGTACCTCCCTGTTTCTCAAGATTATTCTCAAAATTATAATCTAACTTTATGGTCAGCTAGTTCTTGGAACAGAGTCACTGAACCAGCTAACCTAGAGGGTTCTTCTCTCCCTGCTAGATTGTTTTGGCTCTACTCTTCCTGCTAGAGGGGTCTGAATTTATCCGGGTCTTTCAATGCTCACACATGCCACCAGCTCTTGAGGCCTTTCTCAGAATGTATACCATCAGTATATGGCTATAACTTAACTTTCGTAATGAGACAATAGGCTGGGCTAGACATCCAGTTGGTTAAAAGGTGGCGGTGGCCTCCAGGATCCCTGAGCTCACTTAGACCTTCTGAGTTCTGCTCAGTTTCCTGGGTGTGACAACTCCCCAGGACCTTCCTGAAGGGTCCTGAGGCCAAAAGGGACTTGGGCACTGGCAGAAGACTGAGTGTCCAGGAGAGCAGGCTGCCAAGACATTCATGGCTTAATGGGGAGTATAGAGGAGAACAGGCAAGACACAGGAAAGGAAGATTGGGCAGCCGGCTCCTCCAGGAAGCAAGGCCCCGGAGAAAGGGTGGGTGAAGCTGACTTTGTGTCTGCTATCTCTCAGGTTCTGAAAGTGAAGGATGTGTTACTTATAAAGAGCCACCGTCTGTGGATCCAGTGCACCCTGCTAACTGAGTGGTAGAGACGGTGCTGGGGGTGGAGAGGAGCCTTGGCAAGAGGGGCCAAGTGCACAGGAGACTTTACCCCCTTGTCTCGGCAGCTGGATGGTGAAGGTGGTGAAAACCCTGCTTCTGAAAATGGGCTGTTCATATGAGTCTACGTTTCTGGAGGAGCAGGGTGGCTGGGAGCTCATGGGCCAGGCAGAGAATCACTACCGGGGAGTGTCCTTGTTGGCAAGGTGAGGTGCGGACCTCAGTGGGGCAGGGTGGGATAGGGTGGGCCCTCGGATCTTCAGACAGACCCAAGCTGGCATCTCTGAGCAACAGCTTTTGTCGTCCCCCCCCCCCCCCCGCCGTCTCTTCTCTACAGCTTGGGGAATACTGTCCTAGCAGGGGGTCAACACCAGTGTGAAAGATGATGTCCATTCTTGGGAGGCAAACTTGGTCCCTGAAATGATATAGTTAGCTCTTTTGTTTTTCCCCCATGGCTCGGTGGGTAAAGGTGCTTGCTGCCAAGGCTGCCAATCTGAGTTCAATTCCCTGGACCCACATGATGGAAGGCAAACCCACTAATTGTCCTCTGACCTCCACATGAGCACCGTGGCATGCACACCACTCACATATACATGCACATAAAATAAACACCAGTTTACTTACAAGTTCCCTTCTTCAGCCAGCCATGATAGCACCTGCCTTTAATCCCAGCACTCCTGAGACAGAGCAGGTGATCTCTGTGAGTTCGTGGCCAGCCTGGTCTACAAAGTGAGGTCCAGGACAGCCAGAGCTGTTACACAGAGAGAAGCACAGGCTACCATTATGGAGGCTGGTGGCAAGCCAGGGTTTACGCGTACACATCTTGCACAGGAACACAGCTGGGTCATCTATCCAAGGCCACACAACTGAGAAGTGGTAAAGTGATTGTCCTGTGTCCTTCACTAAGGCTCCTTCCCACCTGGCCCAGATGAGTGCTCCCTCTCCAAACACACACCCCTCCCTGGCTACAGAGGGGCATCTTGACTTCTGTGCTGGTGCCCATGACTCCTGCCCCAAGAGCCTCTCCCTGGGCTCAGCACACAGTCACCTGATGGAGCACTAACTGTTCTCCAAGCATCATGCAAAAAGGGGCTACATAGACGATGACTCTATGGTTCTTACCAGCACCAAAGAAACAGTGCTATGACGAGCCCAGGGTTAAACATGAGGAAACTGAGGCCCAGAGATTAAGTGCCTGCCCCAAATCACACAGCACATACTGGAGTCAGGATTTGAACCCAGACTCCCTTCAATTCTGTTTAAGACAGTTTTTCTCTTAGATTCAGTGACCCACGGTCACCTTGGCTCTCTGCCCTGAGTTCTCAGTGGGTGTGGGCTAGGGTCCCGAGAGTGTGTCTTCAGGCAGTTTCCATGCGGTGCTGATGCTGGCTGTGTGGGTAGGGGTACTTTGATCACCTGCTGGCTCGGTGGGATGGGTGAAGCAGCTGGAGCAGGAACTTGTGGTCGGGACCACAGCTCTGCCACACTCTAGCTCTGAGAGCTGAGCCAGCCCCACTCAGAGCCTCAGTTCCCTCCGTGCCTGGGGATATTCAAGGCAACCTGTCTGGAAGGGTGGTGTGGAGACCCCATGGAATGACAAAGTGGGAGGCTGGATGCTGCTGGCCTCAGTGAGTGAAATCTCACATCTCCTTCCTTCTGCCCTGGCCTCCTGCACAGTCGTGGGAGGGCTTCAGCTTGCCCAGCTCACTGATTTGCCCTGTGCCCTCTGCCAAATCTCCTTCCCACCCTGTGCCTCATTTCCCCAGCTGTGTAAAGAAGCAGGTAGGTACCACTGACTCCGAGATGTCACCCAGGTGACACTGACTGGCCAGGGTTGGTAGCGTCCCTGTTAGACCTCCGTCAGCGGGCCTTGTGTGACTGGGAGCCTGAGGGTCTGCCCTCCCTAGGGCTATGGTGCAATACTCCTGTCAGGAGCTGTGTCGCATCCTCTACCTGCTCATCCCGCTCTTGGAAAGAGGTGACGAGAAGCACAAGGTCACGGCCACCGCCTTCTTTGTGGAGGTACCTCCTGGGGCCCTGGGAACCTGGGGACAGTCATTCAGGGCCTTCTGGGGAACAACACTTTCCAGTTTCCAAAGCCTTCCCAGATCCTCCGTGTCTCTTCAATAGGAAGGCCCCACAGGTCTCTCTCTTGTGTCTCCCCCTCTGCACCCCTATACCCCACTCTTCCAGACTTTCCAAAAACCTCAGGCGCCTGTTAATCTTTGCTTGGCACCACTGTGTGTCAGGAACCAGAGGTGCGAATGTGACCTTGACGCCACCCTGGCCTTGAAGGAGTTCTCAGTGTGGCAGGGAAGACAGAGAGCATCCAGTTATAATGTGGGGTGCCGTACTGGGCGGTCATGGGAGAGCTGGAGATTGGAGAGAGGGCCTCAGGGAGAGCTTCCTGAAGGAGGTGACATAATTAGAGCAAGCGTGGCAGGAAGTGCCAGGCAGGATCAGGAGACAAGTCAGGAGTTGGGAAGGCCAGCCGCAGAAGGGCGATGCATTCGGAGCTGACTGACGTTTACTGGGCACTTACTGTCCTCCCAGCCTGCTCTCAATTTATGCTAATTGGCTCATTTCATTTTCCCTCAAATTCCATAACTTAGATGCTAGTTTATGGCCACCTCAGAGAAGGCAGTTGAGGTCCAGTCTCTTTCCCAAGGCCCAAATGGCAGCTAGATCCAGGATTCAAATCTTCGCCTTTGGCTCTAACTCCTCCATGCCTCTCTCTTCCTTAGTTTACTGTAAAACCTCCACACCACACAAGGCACAAGGTCATTTGAAGCACTCAGTGATGCCAGTTCCTTCCTATGGCTGTGTGATTGTAACTATGTAACGCCAGGACCTTCCCACCTGCCCCACCCCCGTTACACACAAGCCCTCTGGTCCTCCCAACACACGGACCTCCTGTCTTCTAACTGCAAAAGGACCTGTTTGCAGCATCTCCTCTAAGCCAGGGAGCTTTTGTGCTCAGCGATTTTATGGCCTCTCCAAGCTTACCCAGGCTGTAATCATCGGGTGTCCCCTCAAAGAGGCTGAGAGCACCCCATTTTGTTCAACTTCTGTCTGTGAGTGACATTAGAGGACCTGCTTTGGTCCCTGCTCCCTCGTCTGACAGTTATCATTCAGAGGACTCCAGGGTTTCACCAGAGTCTGTAGGGTGGGGCTGGCTTACCGCCTGCCTAGCTAGTGGGAAGGACAGAAAGGCTTCCTGGAGGAGGTGACATTTAAGCTCGACCTCAACGGGTGAGTACGGTTTGCACAAAGGACATTCTTCTTGACACATTTCTTAAAACATTTCTGCCTCTCCAGACTGTGAGGTCAGAGCAGGGACCATGTTTATACGGCAGCACTAGTGTTCCAAATCTGTAGCCAATATCAAGATTAGAAATGATGATTTATAAAAGTGAATGGTTCAAGTGTCCACATTAATTCTTTTCGGTAGACATTTATATCACATCTATTAGTGTGGTATAAATTATAGTTATTTATTTATTTATGTGTGTGTATCTATATATATGCACACATGCATGTCTTGGCATGTGGAGGTTAGAAGACAGCTTGTGGGAGTCAGTTCCGCTGTCCTTTCACCGTGTGGGAATTGAACTCAGGTCATCAGAGTTGGCAGCAAGCATTTCTACCTGCTGAGCTATCTCGCTGGCCCTCTGATCTATAAATGAAGAATCTTTATCTTTTGCAAAGGGAGTTTGCAAAGTAAAAGAGACAGGAGCCATTATCCCCTGTGTCTCAGGCTCGGCCAACAGCCTGGTACACAGCCGGCCTGAGTAGCTTGTATGGACAGACAGAAGGCAGCAGTGGTGTGGTCCTTCCTCCCTTCCGTCTCCTCTGGTTAACTGGTGATCCTCCCCCCTGCACCAGCTCCTTCTCCCAGTTCTCCCCATCTCGTAGACATGGCTCTCCACGTGGCAGCCAGGATGATAGAGTGTTGTTTATGAGGATGAGCCGGTGAGACCCAGTGCCTGTTGGCTGCCGAAGGGAGGGAGGGTGTGAAGCCAGACAGAGGTGAGGATGGGTTTCCCTGATGGTGCCAACCCTGCAATGGAAGAGGAGCCGTCCTCAGAAGGGGAAGACTTGATTCCTGTAGTAAACACATATTCTACCCCAATTCTTAGATTGAGTGATGCCTCCAAAAGAGTTGGCTGAGTTTTTGTCCAATAGGAAGGTCACAGAGGTCCAGGGGGACAGATGGGCGGATGGAGCGCTGAGGTTCCTAGTTGCTGCCTCAGGAGGATGCCCAGAGTTCCTGGGACTCGGGGAAACGTGTTCAACCTGGGGCTGAGTTTTGGAAGGAGCTATGCCAGGTGTGGGTGTGAGCATGCAAATAGCTATCGTAGTGGCAGGGCATCCTGCCAGCCCAGAGGGGACAAACGGGCCTGGTCATTTGAGGAATGGTGGAACATGTCTGGCTATGTAGGAGTGTGGGCTGCAGGGTGCATACAGAGCGAAGGAGGCAGGCAGGAGGCAGGCGATGCGGGGGCACAAGGAGAGACAGCTTCAGCGTTCCCACCAGTTTCTGGTGAACGTTAGGTGAAAAGCACCGGCTCCTGTCAGTTTTCTAAGCCCGCGGCTCCAGGAGGCAGATCCTGGGGGTCCCAGGGAGACCATGGGCCATGTACCTCTGGGCTCAGGAGTCAGTGCTGTTTGCTCTCTCAGCTGTTCCGCATGGAGCAGGTGCGTCGCATCCCCGAGGAGTACTCCCTGGGGCGGATGGTGGAAGGCCTGAGCCACCGCAACCCCATCATGAAGGTGCTGTCCATCCGGGGCCTGGTCATCCTGGCCTGTAGGTCTGAGAAGGTGAGTAGAGGGTTGAAAGAAGCCCAGCCCTACCAGGCCTTGGGCTGGAGGGAGGGCTCAGCTGTCATAGTCTGGAATTAGAGCTTATGTTTGCCTGCCCTCAGTGGTCCCATCTGTAAAATGGATCTGCCAACACAATCTCTATGTATTATATTCTTTTTCAACATATCCTGATCCAGATTTCATACACTGTTCCTACAGGCAGTGTGTGGACAGAAAGGGATGACACTAATTATCCCTATGTTGTGGATCAGGAAACGGAAGTCTGGAAGGGTGATATAAGCTTAGCATTGTAAAAAGTGCCCGTTTTCTCTCCTAGGGACTGTCTGACACAGCTTGGTAGAAGGGGCGGGGCACAGACTCAAAAAGCTAACTTGTGACATAGGGTATCCTGTGTGACCTGGGGCCAGAGGAGGGAAAAAGCCAGACGGATTCAGTCACCCAGCAGTGGGTGGGAATTAAGGAGACCAAAGAAGCCTTTAGAGAACAGCCAGGGAGGGAGCTCAGAGTAGGTGACAATGTCCAGGCTGGGCTGCCCTGGTCTTCTGTGAATGGGAGGCTGGATCTCCTACCTGCTGGCCCAGGCAGTACCCCCTCCTCCGTGCTTCTGTCCCCCAGATGGCCAAGGTCCAGACCCTGCTGCCCACCATGGTTAAATGCCTGAAGAACATGGATGGGGTGTTGGTGGTGGAGGCCGTCTGTGACCTCAAGAGCATCTTCAAGGGGAAGGGCAAGAAGCTAACGGACAGCTCAGTCTATGTGGAGATGCTGCAGCTCTTGCTGCCTCACTTCACTGATGTAAGGCCTCAGGAGGGGGGGAGGGGAGGAGCGTGGGAAGAGGAGGGTCAGTCACTTCCTGGGGTTGCAGAATCTCCCATCTACCCCACCACACTGGGGTCTGGGCAGAGCTGCCCCAGGTTAGAGGAAGGGGCACCTCGACCCAGCGGCTTTTCCAGAAGGGACTTCTTTTGTGATCAGTTTTCCCAGAGAAGGTGGACTTACTGACACCGGTTGGTCTATGTTGGCCCCACCACGTGGCCTGGGCTCTTCTCTGCCTCTGCCAAGAAGGTCCTACAAACGAGGGACAGGAAGGCTGGGGAGCCTCCTCCTGGGAGAGAGGTCCTTCTGAGCCTCAGGTTTGTCCCAGGCAAGAGAAGAGGTGCAGGTCTCCTGCATCAGCGTGTACGGAAAAGTGGTTCAGAAGCTCCGGATACCCCGCACCCAAGCCTTGGAGGAGCAGCTGACCAGCACGCTGCTGCCCTTGCTCCTCATCATGCAGGAGGGCAATGCCAAAGTGGTCCAGGTGAGAGCAGGCACAGGTGTCCGGTCCCGAAGGGACACCTCCTTTACAGAGCCAAGCCGGGACTGGGGCCAGTCCATGGAAAGCAATTTATTTTCAACCAGGTGTGATTTCTAGAGGCATCTTGGAGAGAATTCCCCCTCAAATAGCTAACTTCACTTGTACCCTTCTTTTCTTCCTTTAAGTTTTATTTATTTATTTGCAATGCTGAGGGTTAAGCCTTACTTAGGCTTCACACACGCCAGGCCGGCTCTCTACCACTGAGCTATATATAGTCTCGATGCTTCCATTTGCACCTTTCAAACAGGACTTGGTTTTCCAAAATCCAACTAAAAAAAAATTGTGTGTGGGGCTGGAGAGATGGCTCAGCGGTTAAGAGCGCTGCGTGCTCTTCCAAAGGTCCTGAGTTCAATTCCCAGCAACCACATGGTGGCTCACAACCATCGGTAATGAGGTCTGGTGCCCTCTTCTGGCCTGCAGGCATACACACAGACAGAACATTGTATATCTAATAAATAAATAAATATTAAAAAAAATAAATTTCTTTAAAAATGTATGCGTGTAATATCTGAGCATGGGCACACGTGCCACAGTGTGCACACGGAGGTCAAAGAACAACTTTGCAGAGTTGGTTCTCTCCTTCTACCTTTCTGGGAATTGAACTCGGGCTTGAGTGGTGAGCCCCTCTATCCACTGAGCTGTCTCAGCAGTCCCCAGGCCAGTTTCTACATGCCTTCCCCCCCTGGAGGTCTGCTGTCCTGGAATTCCACACTGCTGGTATTTTCTTCCTATTGGTCTGCAGAAATGTGTGAAGACCCTGTTCCGCTGTTCTTGCTTCATGAAGTGGGACTTGCCAAAAAGGGCTTACAGCCAGAAGCCCTGGGAAAACCATCTACAGACAGTGGCAAAAATTTGCAAGTATCTTGTGAGTGCTTCCTGTAAGCTATTGACTCTTTACAAGGGTGTTGGAGGCCAGGAGTCATTCCTTCCCCCTTTCTGTTTCATGTTCTGACTTGTGGTTCACATCACTGCCTCCAGGCTATTGGTGCTCGAGCATCCATATCCGTCTCTGACTTCTCCCCGTCTAGAGTCCCTCTCCTCCGGATCACTGGATACCTCCAGTGGATAGTTGTCTGTCTGTCTATCTATCTATCTATCTATCTATCTATCTATCTATCTATCTATCTATCATCTATCTATCTATTATCTATCTATCTATCTATCTATCATCTATCTATTATCTATCTATCTATCTATCTATCTATCTATCTATCTATCTACCTACCTTCCTTCCTTCCTGCACTCTCTCTGTACACTCCCCACTGTGTGTGTGTGTGTGTGTAGGGACCGAGCCTGTAATCTCATGCATGCTAGGCAAGTGATCTACCACTGAATTACAGCCCCAACCTATCTATATTGTGTCTATATTGTACCTTCTGCCTAGATGGTCTGCCTTTCCCTTTTTTAAATTTTTTGAGACATGGTCTTACTATGCACCTCAACCTGGTCTGGAACTCACTATGTAGCCCAGGCTGGCCTTGAATTCACAGTGACTCTCTGTCTCACCCTCCTGAGTGATGGGGTTAAAGGTGTGTGCCACCATGCCTGGATTTTAGGCTCCCTCTTCTGCAATAGAATTTCCAAGGCAGTGTTTCTAGTGATGGTCCACAGGGGGGGGGGATGCTGGGGGCAGGTGTTCTGGGGTGTTGCAAATGCTGAATGCTCACCACGACCCTGCAGATTGACAGTGACTTAGAGGCCTTGGAGGTGCTCTGTGCCGAGGAATGACAGTTTTAGTCACTGACTCATGCTTTCTTGACCTTTCTCAGCGATCTCTGTGAATAGCTAAGTAGGGAGTAAGCCACAGCACGCTGTGAAGGTGTCACTGTGGGTCACGGAAACTGTGGGGACATCTAGTCCCACGCTCCCTTCCCTGTTGTCATGGGACACATAGGCAGGAGTCCATGTAAAAAAACAACACAGAAAGTATCTGGGTGTGGTAGTGCATGCTTGTACTCTCAGCACTGGGGAGGCAGAGGCAGGAGGATCCCTGGGACTCAGTGGAAAAGCAGCCTAGCTTACTTGGTAAGCTCCAGGCTGATGAGAAACTTTGTCTCCACAAAAACAAAACAAACAAACAAAAAACTCTAAGTGGACAGCAGTCAGACAACAGCAGCAGCAGAGGTTGTCCTTGGGTCTCCTTGTACATGGGCCATCATGCCTGGCCTTTTGGCTCCCTTTCCTGCAACAGAATTTCCCAGGCAGTATTTCCAGTGACAAGAGTATCCTTGTGCATGCCTGCACACACACACACACACACACACACACACACACACACACACACACACACACACACCACACATACATTCACCCTCACAAACAACCTCACACACACACACCAAGCATTGTGTTAAGCTGGGTATAACCCTAACACTTGAGAGGCTGAGGCAGGAGGACTGCTATGAGTTTGAGCCCATCTTGTGTTATAGAGTGAGACTCTGTCTAAACAACAACAACAACAACCCCCCCCCCCCAAAGACCTCCATACATTGCGCTCAGCACCGTTCTGTAGACCTTTGGAGTTTGTGACCGTCAGTTTGTACCTCTATGGTCGATCCCTCTGCTTTGCTTTTCTGCCCATTAACAGCTTTGCTCACAAGAAAGTTAAATTCTTAAGCTAATGGGGCTGGAGAGACGACTCAGAGGTTAAGAGCACTACCTGCTCTTCCAGAGGTTCTGAGTTCAATTCCCAGCTACCACATGGTGGTTCACAACCATCTGTAATGAGATCTTGTAGCACAATTAATAAAAACCCAGAGACAGAAATTGGGGTTCAACCTGAAGAACAGAAAAGCAAAACAGCCAGCCACTGACTCTTACCTCTACCTCAGTCCGAAATGTCAATCCTGCCTCCAGGAATCCTCAGAATGAGATGCTGTATGAAACCTGTCTCCTCCTGTTTTATATTCCTCTCTAGTGCTGGGATTAAAGGTGTGCACCACCACTGCCCGGTTTCTGTGGTAAGCTAGTGTGGCTACTAGGATTAAAGGTGTGTGTTACCACTGCCTGGTCTGTAAGGTTGATCAGGTGGCTGTTTTATTCTCTGATCTTCAAGCAAGCTTTATTTATTAAAATACAAATGAAATATCACTGTAAGATCTGGTGTCCCCTTCTGGCCTGCAGGCATATGTGCAGGCAGAACACTGTATACATACTAAGTAAATATATCTTCTAAAAAAAAGTTTTTGGGCTAAGTACTGCGGCTCAGTTAGTAGAGTACCTGCCTAGCATGCCTGAGACCCTAGGCTAGAGCTTTTAGCACGCCATAACCCCAGCTTGGTGGTGTGGGTGTGGTGGTGCATGCAGGAAGCCAGGGCAGGCTACATGAAACCCTGTCTCAAAAAATTAAATGAGTACAAGAAGCTAAAGCTACGCTTTAGTAGCTTGACAAAGAGACCAGTGACTTGGTGCTGATCAATGAACGAATCAACTGTAGTTCATTCATTCACTCATTAGCACAGTGCTTCTCGACCTCCCTAAGGCTGTGACACTTTAATACGGTTCCTCATGTGTTGGCGACCCCCTCAACTATCAAGTTACTTTTGTTGCTACTTCATAATAGTAATTTTGCTACTGTTATGAATCATAATGTAAATATCTGTGTTTTCCAATGGCCTTAGTTGGAAGGGGTTGGGACCCATGGGTTAGGAACTGCTCTTTTAGTTGTTTCTGGTCACCAGCTCCAATACAAGTCCCGTCTAGGGTGCTGAGGACTCTGAAAGGAGTGAAAAGTTCCCTCATCTTGGAAGAGTTCCGTATGCAATGGGGGAAAGGGTGTACAACTAAAAGCTACCGTTCTGGGTACCATGACTGAGGATGTGTGGGATGCTGCAGAAGCATTAAGAATGGTGGACAGCCAGGTGGTGGTGGCTCATGCCTTTAATCCCAGCACCTGGGAGGCAGAGGCAGTTGGATCTCTATGAGCTTGAGGCCAGCCTGGTCTACAGAGAGAGTTCCAGGACAGCCAAGGCTATACACACAGAGAAATCCTGTCTTGAAAGACAAACAAAGCGAAACAAAAATGGTAGATGAACATCCCCGAGGGTCATGAAAGATTTCAGTGGGAGGTAGCATCTGAATTGAGGCTTGAAGGATGCGAAGCAATTTATCAGGTAGAAGGGAGGATACCGTAATTAGGGGCAATCCCCATACAGGGCACAGAGGTGGCTCTGGCTGGTCCATATCCTTGCCGTATAGCCCCGCAAGTATGGCAGTGGAGGCAGCGACGGGAAGCTGTCAAACTCAGTAAGATTGTGGAGGCTTTGCCTGCCAGACCTGGGAGTTCAGACCTTGGCCTCAGCCTGAGGAAGTTGTTAACAGACATGAGTCTTCTCTCTCAGTAGCCTCTTACCTGAACAACCGCTCCCAGGCCTCTGCACCTGAGCCACCCTGATGGCCTCTGTCAGGCGATCTTGCACAGAGCATGGCTTTGTCACTACCAGTCATAGTGAAGGCTTGCACTTCCCAGCGCAGGAGGATGCCTTGTTTGTGCCTGGCTTCGAGGACTGCTCGGTCCTCCAGCTAATTCCCCATTGCTCTGTAGCCCCAGTCTTTCATCCCGGCCAGCCCAGGTTCCCTTTGCGTGCCATGCTCCATGTCATCTCCCGTGGGATCTGCAATGTGGAACCTTCCCTCCATTACACCCGGGAGATGGACTGATAGGAGACCTGGGCTGGCACACCATTAGAAGTGGTGATTTCAGTCAGATAAAAGAAGACAAAGTCTGGCCCCTTGGGGCCTCTCGGCAAAGAGCTGGGCAGTAGGGATGTTTGGGATCCGGGGTCAGGGTAGTGCTGCTGGGGAGAATAGCTGCCCCAGCTGTGAGGTAGTGGACCCAGCACTTGAGGGCTTTCTCTTCGTTCCAGGTGAACTCTCACCGAGACAGCGTCTTCACCTTCCTCAGCCAGAGCCTGGAGTTTGCAAAGAATTCACGGGCCTCCCTCCGGAAGTCCTCTGTCATCTTCATAGGTAACCTTTTCTGGTATAATAAGTCCCCCGCCAGGCCTCTGCCTGAGTTCCGGTCTGAGTTTCCCAGAATCCCAATTTCTGGGGGAAAGATCGATTTACAGATTCTCTTTGCTCAGGATTCTTCTTAAGACCCTTCTAACGTTGGCATCTGGGCTGCCTCTCCCACCACATCACACTACATTCAATGTGTTATATTCCTATTCTCCTCTGCCCAAATCATCATAGTCCCTTCACCAGGGTCAGGAGACCTTACTGCAGAGAGGCCCGGAGTGTATGTTTTAAATTCATTTGTTCTTTCTCATACCCCATCCACCCATATATCTACTATCCATCCATCCCTACATCCATTCATTCATCCCTACATCCATCCATCCCTATATCCATCCATTCATTCATCCATCCATCCTATATTATCCATCCATTCCTACATCCATCCATCCCTCCCTCTATCCATCCATCCATCCCTACATCCATCCATCCCTATATCCATCCATCCCTATATCCATCCATTCATTCATCCATCCATCCTATATTATCCATCCATTCCTACATCCATCCATCCCTCCCTCTATCCATCCATCCATCCCTACATCCATCCATCCCTATATCCATCCATCCCTATATCCATCCATCCATTCATCCATCCATCCTATATTCATCCATCCATCCCTCCCTCTATCCATCCATCCATCCCTACATCCATTCACGAATCCATCCACTTATCCACCATTCATCCATTCATCCTCCAATCCATCTACCTATCTACCCATCCACCATATATGTAATATATTCCATTTTCCTATCCTTTTATCGACCCATGCACACTCATTTGTCCATCATCTACCCATCCATCCTTCTAGCTATTCACTCACCAACCCACCCACCTACCCATCTACCCATCTACTCACCTGCCCATCCATCCACTAACCAATCCATCTACCCACTTGTGCATCCCCTCATCCATCCATGCGCCTTCCATCCCGTCACTGGTTTATTTAGAGAATGACTCCCTGTTCTTTGTCAGGCGTGATGATGAGGTTAGAGAAACTGAGCTGCTGGGGTGGTGGGAGTGAGATGGGGGCTGGGGTAAGACACGGGGGCGGGATGAGGGGGACTGCCAACGTAACCAATGCTGGGACACAGGAGCAAGGCCTAGGACATTTGGCACACATCTGAACTAAGGGGCTACACAGAGGCAGCTCCTCACATGCTGATTTCTTTTAATCTTGCTCCAACTTACCCTACCACTCCACCCCCCAAAATGGATATCAGATTAAGAAATTTATAGTCTGGTGGGAGATAAAGATTCATACATAAATCAGGGCCTGGAGATGTAGCTTAGTGGTTGAACACATGCTTGGCATGTATAAGACCCCGAGTTCACACAAACACATAAATATACGATTTGTAAATCACAAGTAAAGTAAAACCATTGCATACAAACCTAGTGTATACAGACCCAATGTATATGGGCTCACTGTATACATGCCCATGGTATATATACCCAGTGTATACAGACCCAGTGTATACAGGCCCAGGGCATACAGACCTGGTGTATACAGACCCAGGGTATACAGGCCCAGGGTATACAGACCCAGTATATACAGACCTGGTGTATACAGGTCCAGAGTATACAGACCCGGTGTATACAGGTCCGGTGTATACAGGCCTGGTGTATACAGGCCCAGTGTCTACAGATCCAGTGTATATAGACAGGAAGCTCACTGAGACTCTGAGACTCGAGGTAGGCACCAGGCTCTGAAGGGCGTGGTCGACCGGTAGTCAGGATTAACCAGACCAGCTCAAAAACAAGGAATATAATTTTAATAATTGAGAAAGAGAAACTCACACAATCGGGATTCAGTGAGAGTCACGAGCAGCCGAATGAATACAAAACAAGGGGTGGGCACCTGGATGCCCAAGTCCTTCTTCTGTCGCCCTAAGTGGCCACACCCTAGCCAAATGTGATTGGCTGAGCCTCCCAATCAAGGCTCAGCCTGGGTCAGGGTCAGGAAGGACTTCATAGAGAGTCACTTTCTGAAGTTAACATACAGGACAATCAGGAACTTCCCAGGAAAACACATAAATGCTGGAAGGGTGGGTTATAACCAGGACCAGGCATCATGGGAGCCAGGTACGTAGCACAAGGACACCTCAGAGGTCCCTTGCAGCTGTGGCTGACAGATGTATGAGGCTACGGGCTCAGATTCCCTGGGGAAATTGGGAAATTTTTCATGTCACAGACAAGGAAGCTAAGGCCTAGCCTAGGATAGCACTGTCAATTGGCCACATCTCGGATCCTGTGCCATCCTGGTTCAATCCTGCCCATGGGACCAACACCTCCCTGGGACTCCTGCTGGGAATCTGCCCTCACGTCATAATAAAGCTCTCCTTTCATGCCCTCTAAGGGGCTGGAAGAGGGCAGACAGATTCTGAGATCATCTGATCCAGGAATGGGAGGAGCAGGTATCAAGATAGACGCCTTCACCTTTTGGATTATCCAGGGTCCCTGGTCCCCTGCATGAAGAACATTATGACTGAACAGTGGCTGAATGAAGTGAAAGCCAGTAAGTCACACCCGGAGTTGGTGAGATTGCTGAGGGAATGGGGACATGAGCAGAATCAAGATGTATCACAGGGAAAGAGAATGGCGTGGGTCAGGGCAAGAGTCTTCAGTTCATTCTGCTGTGCTAAAGCGTTATCTGTAGTGAGTGCAATGTTAGCTACTGTGGGGTTACCCAGAGGCAGAACGCACAGCATCCTGGGGAGCTTGTGACTTCATTAGGCAAACAAGGCTCAGAAGCAAGACCCAAAACCATTTAGCGCAGGGTGGATAGTTTAAATGCTTAAGGAGGCACAGCTTGCACCTGAGAGCACTGATAGGAGCCTGGAAGTAGGCTGGGGAACTCTTGGGAGGGTTCCTAAGGGAGGCAGACTTCTCATACAAGCTTTGAAAGATTGCAACAATCTGGATGACTGGGAAGATGCTTCCTCGAGGGGTGTCTAAGCCAAGGCTAGGAGGTGGGAAGGAGGGGTGAATTGTGAGCTCTGCCGAGAGAGGAACCTTATCTAAGCAAGTGGCTTTTCTTGTCCTCCAACCTAGCTCTGGAGCTCTTGAGACATGACCCAGAAGCGTCAGTATGCATCTACGCAGCCCAGGCCCAGGACCACATAATGGCTAGCTGCTGGCGGAGTTCTTGGCCGCTGCCACATGGGGATTCATGGGTGTGTGACCCATCCACTTCGCACCGCTGGAGCTCCAGCTGTGAGACCCTACCCACGTCCCACCAGCGGCGCTCCTGGATCATGCAGGCACTGGGCTCCTGGAAGATGTCGATGTCTTTGAAGCAGTGACATGCCAAAGCCCCCAGACAGGTCACTGTAAATACCGCATGGTCAAGCTCTCCATCCGGACGGCTTCTTCATGAGAGATACCCCGGGCTCCTGTGTAGCCCTCACCATGACGAGTCTGTGAAAAGCGTATGACCTTCATTTGTTGATTCAGTTGACACTTACAGATGTGTGCAGGCTGTTTTGTTCACTTATCATAACGGGATGGGATACCAGGGTACAGAGGTGAAGTGGCTTGACCAAGGCCACTCAGGAGGTCTCCTGGACATCTCAGTTTCCCTTTCCCCAGTGACAAGAGCAGAAGGGGTGATGGTTTAGGTGGCCCTTGTAGAAAAGGAAAGAGAAAAGACTCTCCCACCTATGGCATCATGCATATTTGGGGACCCTGGTCTCTGAGTCTCACCCTTGGGTCTCTGCCCAATAATTGCCCACCCCTAACACAAAAATACCTGAAGTCATTTTTGCTGTTGCCACCTGAAGGTGTCAATGCTACTGACTTCTGGTAGGTAGGGAACAGTTGTCAGGACACACTGTTAAGTACCTTACAGTGTTCATGACAGCCCCCACATGGAAGTGCTCCAAAGACTGAGTTCAGCAGGAAGGCATAGAGACCGTGACATCGAGAGGTTGTGTGTGTCAGCTGAGGTTCCAGAGAAGAGATTTTTCAAGGAGGTTTGGAAAAATAGCCACATTTGGGCATCTATGTGTAGACAGTGGGGTACTTGGGACCAAAGACCATCTTCAAAGTCATGGTGAGACAGAACCTAGAAAAAGAGGAGAGGGGCAAGAGCCAGGCCTAAGGCCATGGAAGCTGCCCAAAGGAGATAGACTTCATCCAGAGGGCAGTGGGGAGGCACGGTGGGGTGCTAAGAAGGGAGATAGATGAGCAGATGCCAACTTTAGAAAACTCTCCTCGTGGGATGTAGGAGCCCTGGGCACTGCTGGTGTGGCATAGATTGACGCAGCTATTCTGAACAAGAATCTGTTACTAGTCAGTAGTGGGAGCTTAGGAATAACCATGAGCCAAGGAGTCTACCTGTAGGCATACATCCTGGGGCGATCGTCCCACAGGTCCACAGGGGCATGTATGAAGATGTCTGAGGTGAGGTGAGGTGATGTGGGGTGAGGTGAGGCGAGGAGGAGTTAGGCTGGGTATCCAGAAGAGTAAGCTCCATGGAGTTTCATGTGTAGTTATAGGTAGTAAGGATGTACTTAGTTCCCTTGGGGACCCCAAACCTTGCGTTGAGTGAAAAAAGTGTGCTAAAATTTGTGTGCACAAAAGTTTTTTGTTGGAGACTGGGTCTAGGCGGTCTTGAACTTGTGATTCTCTCCTTCTGAAACTCATAAGTGCTAGGATTACAGACAGATGTTACCAGGCTTGGCTAAGAATTCACCTTTTTTTTTTTTTTTTTTTTTTTGGTTTTTCGAGACAGGGTTTCTCTGTGGCTTTGGAGCCTGTCCTGGCACTAGCTCTGTAGACCAGGCTGGTCTCGAACTCACAGAGATCCGCCTGCCTCTGCCTCCCGAGTGCTGGGATTAAAGGCGTGCGCCACCATTGCCCGGCATAAGAATTCACCTTTTAAGACTATTTATAGGAAAGACAAAACATCAGGTTTGGAGAGGGTGTGGAGGGTTCAGATACAAAAGGGAGCTTAGCGAACTCCTCCTGGAAGCCAGGAGACTGGAAGCTAGGCAAGCTCTGCCTGCAGACTGCGGCGGGGGAGGCTCCCTATCAGGCCACGCCCCTGCCAGACCACGCCCCCGACCAGCGGAACCCAAGAGGCACGGACAACGCACAGCCCGGAGAGCAGAGGGAAGGGCACCTGGGCCGCCGCCGGAAGGAGCGGTACGCTTCTTGGCTCCTCCGGATTCAAGCGCTAGAGTCGCGAGCTGCAATGGAGAATTCTGACCCTGCGGATGACGCGAACATGGACGCATTCCTGGAAAAGTTCCAGAGCCAACCTTACCGCGGCGGCTTCCACGAGGACCAGTGGGAGGAGGTGGGCGGTCCCGGGGGCTCCGCTGGGGTAGGAGTGTGGTCCTCGTGTCTTGATCGCTGCCAAAGGACGAGTGACTGCCTGTTGGGTGCCACAAGCCTTGAGGTTTTGAGGGTCTAAGTTGTCAGTGCAGTTAAGACCACAGGGTTTGGCTGTCAGCCCTGTGACCCACCACCTCCTGGTTCTGCTACTGGATCGGTTTCCTGAGTTCTTTGAGCCGGGTTCCTCACTTGTAAAGTTGTTTTAGCTGCAGCACCCTGTCAGTTAAGGTTTGGGCAAAGATGAAAGGAGGTGGAGAAGGGTCAGGAACGCGAGAGCGCCCAGCTAAAGGTGATTACGACCACCCCTGGAGAGCTGAGAACTCAGAAGTCCAGTTTTCCACTCTAGAAACTGGAGCCTGTATAGATCCAGTCAATCATGAGGACTGGCAGATCATGACCAGTGAAAGACTTTGACGTTGCGTCCTGGGATTGGATCTCATTCAGTAGACAATACTAATTATGTGCTTTATTCTTTTAAAAATCTAGGAATTTGACAAGATCCCCCTATTTATGAAGAAAGCACCATCAGAAATAGATCCCAAGGAGTTCCCCGACTTGGCTTGCCTTCAGTCAATTATTTATGACGATGAGCGATCCCCGGAAGGTACCTTACATAACTAGTGTTTGCTTGTGCCTTTGCTGAGTGGAGGTAAAGTGTGAGGGAGATGGCCAGCTTGTTGCTTTTCGCTCCACACGTCCTTCTCCATGGTCATTACAGGCCTCAAAGGTCAGACTCCAATAAAAAGCAGCCAAATTGTCCCAAAGAATCAGGAGATATGTGTGACAAGTGCCAATAAATATACTACTGCCTTTGTGGGCACAACATGTTGGAGCACTGTGGGGGCAGGGGTGAGCTCACAGTGAGTCTGAAGTTGAAAGTAAATCTTAATAGTTTTGTAGGTTGTTCCCAGAAAGAGGAGGGAAATTTGCATTTCAGTGAACGGAACAAAGGGAGTAGTATAGTTTCCTTAAAACGATTCTTAAGCTCCTTCAAAAACTAGGATGAATCTCTCTCTCTCTCTCTCTCCTCTCTCTCTCTCTCTCTCTCTCTCTCTCTCTCTCTCTCTCTCTCTCTCTCTGTGTCTGTGTGTGTGTACAAATGGAGGTCAGAGAACAGCTTTGTTGGCATGACTTCTCCTTTACCTTTATGAATGTTTCTGAGCTCAAACTCAGGTTGTCAAGCTATGGGCAAGTGCCTTTACCTGCTGAGCCATTTCTTAGGTCAGTTTTCTTCCCCCTCTCACAAACAGCATTCATAGCCAGGCAGTGGCGGCACACCACCCAGCACTCAGGAGGCAGAGCAGGTGAATCTCTGAGTTTGAGGCCAGCCTGGTCTACAGAGTGAGTTCCAGCGTAGCCAGAGCGACACATACCTGGAGTTGATTGTAGCATTAACTTTGCATGACGTTGTGTTTCTATGTTGATGCCCACTTTATCATACCATTAATTTGAATTTTTGTTTCTCTGTTGGTCCCATTTCTTTCATTTATCATATATGTGTTAGTTGGCCCTTCTCTTATGGTGCTAAAAGAGTGACCAAAATGAGCTTAGGGGAAGAAAGGGTTTATTTTAGCTTATAGGTTACAGTCAGTCCATCGCCGAAGGAAGCGAACTCGAGCAGGAACTTAGAGGCAGGAACTGAGACGGACCATGCAGGAGTGCTGCTCACTGCCTTGCTGCCCTTGCCTTGTTCAGCTTGCTTTTTTTTTTTTTTTTTTTTTTTGGGGTTTTCGAGACAGGGTTTCTCTGTAGCTTTGGTGCCTGTCCTGGAACTAGCTCTTGTAGACCAGGCTAGCCTCGAACTCCCAGAGATCTGCCTGCCTCTGCCTCCCGCCTCCCGAGTGCTGGGATTAAAGGCGTGCGCCACCACCGCCCGGCTCTTGTTCAGCTTTTTTATACAACCCAGAGCCACCTTCCAGGAGTAGTATTGACGACAGTGTGATGGCCCCTCCCACAGCAATCATTAATCAAGAAAATGCCTAAGACAGGCCAATCTGATGGAGCCATTTTTTTTTTTTAATTCAATGCTTCCTCTTCCCAGAGGACCCTAGCTTGTATCAAGATGCCAACAACCCAGCCTGCACAGTATTACATTACGTCATGGTTCAGATTTTTAGGAGCTTTCTGAAGGTGTGACATGATACTTACTTCCTTCTCTTTGCAGATCAAGCCAAGACCTATAAGGATGAAGGTAATGACTACTTTAAAGAAAAGGACTATAAGAAAGCCGTGGTTTCCTACAGCGAGGGATTAAAGAAGAAGTGTGGAGACCCTGATTTGAACGCTGTCCTTTATACCAACCGGGCGGCAGCCCAGTACTATCTGGGTGAGCATTATGACGTGGTTAGCTCCGTTTCCTGTATGTGTGTGTACGTATAGGTGAGTGGGTGTGCATTGCAGGGTAGAGGTAACCTCGGATGCCATTCTCAGGTGCCATCTACCTTGTTTGTTGAGACAGTTTCTCTTCGGCCTGGAGCTTTCTGAGAAAGGCAGGCTGGCCAGCAAGCCTTATGAATCCATTTGTCTCCACGACTTCTTCTCCCAGCGTGGGATCAAAAGCACATGCTGTCACAGGGAGCATTCTTAGTGTGCTAGGGATTGTGTTCCGGTCCTCATGCTTGTTCAGCAAGCACTTTGCTGACTGAGCTCTCTCCTCAGCCTGACTTTATTATTTCTGAAGAATTTACTTAGAGGGTTCAAGAGATTATGTGTCTCAACAGTTAAGAGCACTCGCTCTGGTTCCAGAGAACCTCAAGTTCAGATCCCAAGTACCCACATCAGGTGCTCACAGCTGCTTGTACACAGGCACAACTCCGCTCCAGAGGGCATCAGATGTCTTCTGATGTCCATGAGCCTGGCTGGCTGGCATTCATGTGTGTGTGCGCGCGCTCACAGACACACACAAATTAAAAAAAAAAAAAAAAAAAAAAAAAAAAAAAACAGGAAAAAAGACTTTAAACCAGGAGTGGTACCTTATGCCTCTCATCTTGGAATTTGAGAGGGAGATGCAGGTAGAGCTAGGAAATTTTTTAAATTCTGTGTACTGTTTTCTTTCTTTTCTTTCCTTCCTTCGTTCCTTCCTTCATTGCTTCCTTCGTTCCTTCCTTCCTTCTTTCTTTTCTGATATTTATTTATTTATTTATTTATTTATTTATTTATTTTTTCAAGACGGGGTTTCTCTGTGTTGCCCTGGTTGTAAAGGAACTCGTTTTGTAGACCAGGCTATGTAGTGACATTTCATTTGTATTTTAATAAATAAAGCTTGCCTGAAGATCAGAGAGTAAAACAGCCCCACTGGTCAGCCCTACAGACCAGGCAGTGATAATACCTTTAATCCCAGTAGCCACACTAGTTGCCATAGAAACTGGGGGTGCATACCTTTAATCCCAGCCCTAGAGAGGATTATAAAACGAGAGGAGACAACTCTCAGTCTCATTCTGAGATTTCTGAAGGCAGAATCACCATTTTTGAACCAAAGTCGAGGTAAGAGCCAATGGCTATTTTGCTTTTTGTCTCTTTAGGTTGAACCTCAATATCTATCCCTGAGTTTTTATTAATTATGCTTCAAGGCTATCCTCAAACTCACAGAGATCCACCCACCTGCCTCTGTCTCCTGAGTGCTGGGATTAAAGGTGAGGGCTGCCACTGCTAGGCCTGTGTACTACTGAGGGATTTATGCTATGCTTAGTTTTCCTTTACTGGATCTCATTGTGCCTGGCGGGGGCGGAGGGAGGCTGCAGTCCAGAAAACCTGTTTTTGAGTCTGCCTAGAATAAACTTCCAGTTTCTCCACAGGTCTGGGGCAGGCTGGGTTCTAGCAGTGGAGAGTACGGCGTTTGGAAATCTGCTGGTCCTTCAGTCTGCCTCTGCTCCCATTGCAGAGGGCCTGGTGCCCGTGACACTGATCCCAGTGCTCGTTCCTTCTGTGGTGTGGCTTTCCCTCTGCTTTCTGTTGTCACGCCTGTCCCTTTGCCTTCCAGCTTTCAAAGTGTATTCTGTGCTCTAAGCGCCTATGTGAGTGTCTGACTATAAATCTCAGCCACCTGGGAGAGTGAGGCAGGAGGAACCCACGTTTGAGGTCAGCCTGGTGGTTTCATGGAACCCTGTCTTAGATCAGTACCAGAGGGAAGTATTGGAGCTTGCTTGTTCTTTTTACGCGTTACTCAAGTATTTTTGAGAATGATTTCCAGAAGGAAACTTGTTTCAAGGAGTGTGCTAATTTATTCTCTATCTGGACACTGTTCTTTTTCATACCCTCACCTATTTCACGTGCTTGTTAGCATTTCAGAGTCATCCAGACTGCCTGATACTGTGAACTTTTTAGGACTTGATGAGCATAACTATGTTTT